GGTAGGATCTGAAATTCAGGAATCTGCATGATGCCATAGGCTTCATGTACCAGTCTACCATTAAGATATTCTTGTTTCGGATGATTTTTGAGTCCAGGAATGGAACTGATGATTGATTATCATCTTCTTTTTCTATGGTGAATTGAATATAGGAATCATAGCTGTTAAAAACTTCTACAATATCATCCAAACCTTCAACAGGTAGGCAAACAATAATGTCATCTACATATTTTTTTAATAAAAAAAAGATTATAAGGCAATACCTGAATGACACTATCAAGCAGGTCATCCATTACATATTCTGCTAAAATTGGTGATAACACTGATCCCATTGGACAACCATGTGTTTGTGGATAGGTTTTATTGTTAAAAGTGAAATAATTATCAAGTTTCGTTTCGGCCGTGTACGGAATCGCACGAGTTATAAGATCGATGCCTTGAGATCGCTTTTTAAAAAGTTTATTTTCGAAAATACAAAACAAAAAAATGTACTTTTACAAAATTATTACAATGTTATTATGATGTTAACAGTACAAAGGCGTAAATCTGATGGACTATAAAATGTGTTGACAATAAAGTAAAGTCTAGGTCTTCTAGGAAATTAGTAGCATCGTCGGCAGTATTCCTGGCATATCAGCAGGAAGGCTGATATAACTCCTCCCCCCTGATATTCAACTTCGGGGAAGAATTCTTCACGGAAGTTGAATAGGATGAAGTTCGACTTCTGGTTGCTGAATACTTCTATTTCTGAGCTTCCTCCTCTTCAAGATGGTTTTCCAGAATGCGTAGACACCCAAGAGTAATATACATCCATATATTATCAGTGTCTAGGCACTGGGTATAAAAAAGTCTGCAGGTTTCTTAAAGTTGGCTTTGTTGTTGATAATGCTTGTCTTGATTTTACTTAACTCGTCCAGCTTAATTTTTTCTAGATGCAGACTGAAATTTGTTTCTGTGATGTCGCCTTTAGTGACCAGGTTTAAATCCGGGAATATTATACGTAGGTTGGCCCGCGACAATCGTTTCGAGTTCATTTTTGATGATTTGATGATTAATTTCGGCTAGACAGTTGACAGGAATATGAAGTAGGTAAGTTCCCGTTAATGTTTCCATTTACATTTGTTCGTGGCATTCCATTTTGATAACTTCTGGTACTGGCAGGATCAATACCCATTGATTAGTCCGTTGGATTCGTTCGATACTTGGCTGATTGATTATCAGTAGAGTTCGAGCACATGCAGGGGCGTTTCTACCATTGAATAGTTCAAGTTCACAAGGTAACGGACCATTGATGTCTTGCAAGTTGGTCTTCTCGCAGAGAAACTTTTTAGGAGTAATTTCAGTACAAATGTCGCCGCAAAGTGCAATTCATTTTTTGCCAAATAAGGCTCTTTTGGAATGATAGTCTTAAATTGACCTTCAAAATATATCGGGATTGGAAAGAGACGTCATAAATTAAATGACTCATAGTATGAGATTGGGAGTGATAAAATGAATGTAATTTTGTTGCCCACAGAATAACTGGAGATTTTGATTATTTTTTCAAAAGTTGGTATGTTATCTAGTAAAACTGGGATCGCAAATTTTTCTTGGCCTAATCTTGAGCTCAATAGTTTCAGTTCTCCAAAAATTTCTTCGGTTGGAATAATGCTAGGGTGAATTGTTCCAAGACCTGCAAAAATTATTGAATTTTCAACGTCTTGTAATATTGACAGAGTTACTTCGTAGCTGTTCATAATTTGAGATACTGTGTCTACTATGAATTTATGCTGATCTGAATCGATTGTAGTACGATGAACAATTACATATATGGTATTAATTTTATTATTCAGCAATTGTTCATTATGACAGACTTGCTCAACAGTTTTATTGAACGTATCAATAAGAGACACTGACAGGGCATTATTCTATGTGACACTGTTAGTCAATTCTCTTTGATTACACTGATCAACAGCCAAAAAATATCCTAAATAAAATCAACAAAATATTACTATTTTTAATGTGCTAAAACCGGAATTAAACTTATTTTTTCAATATTAGTTCAAGTTTTAGAGATACGGTAATTATATGTGTTCCTGCTGTGACAGTGTTAATATACTGTAATTCACAAGAATGCACGTGCTACATTTTTATATTCGGCAAGGAAAGATGATGTAATCGGCATGATTGTGTTACGTTATACATACGTGTACATTATATTATTTTATATTAGCCATTTTTTCCTCAGTTGGCTGACAGCGTTCATGCAAGATGTCTCGAAAGTGTGTAAACAATCCAGATCAGTTTTGTTACGTGTGTGGTGATGTGACTTTTGCGTCTCAGAGACGGTCTATTACTCCACTAATAACAAAGGCATATCAGCTTTATTTCGGTTGTAAACTAGGTGATCAAGACAAACAGTGGGCACCCCACATCTGCTGTAATACATGCGCTTCAAGTCTCAGGAGCTGGTTAAATGGCAAAAAACGGTCTATGCGCTTTGCTGTCCCAATGGTTTGGAGAGAGCCTACAAATCATATTAATGATTGTTACTTTTGCATGGTACCTTGTGTTGGACAAGCCACAGGTATGTCCAAGAAAAAAAAATCTGTTATTAACTACCCAAACATACCATCTGCTATGAGACCTGTGCCTCACAGTGACAAAAATCCTATTCCAAAACCCCCAGAATCCTACACTTGCGAATCAGATCATGGCGATCCAGTTATTCGTCAGGAACGCATATCTTGCCATCAACGTCAAGAGATCCTGATTTTATACCGAGCACGTCATGCCACCAACCGCACAAAATAACAGTCAGAATTAAATGATCTTGTAAGAGATTTAAAACTTCCAAAATGTAAGGCAGAGTTGCTTGGATCAAGACTGCAGCAGTGGAACTTGTTAGAAGACGATGTTTCGGTATGTGTTTTTCGTAAACGCCACAAAGACTTAGAACCATTTTTCAATATGGAGAATAACTTGGTTTTCTGCAGTAACATTAACGGCTTACTGGCGGCTTTAAATATAAACTATAACCCAGAAGAATGGAGATTGTTTATAGACAGTTCAACATTGAGTTTAAAGGCAGTGTTATTGCATATTGGAAATATTTTACCATCTCTTCCTGTAGGGTATGCAGTTCACATGAAAGAATCATATGACAATATGAAGTACCTATTGACATGCATAAAATACGATCAGCACCAATGGCATATTTGTGGCGATTTGAAAGTTGTTGCACTTTTACTTGGGCTGCAGATAGGCTACACAAAGTTTTGCTATTTTTTGTGTGAATGGGACAGTCGGGCAAAGGCACTTCATTACACCAGACAAAACTGGCCTGTTACTTTTGCATGGTACCTTGTGTTGGACAAGCCACAGGTATGTCCAAGAAAAAAAAATCTGTTATTAACTACCCAAACATACCATCTGCTATGAGACCTGTGCCTCACAGTGACAAAAATCCTATTCCAAAACCCCCAGAATCCTACACTTGCGAATCAGATCATGGCGATCGAGTGATTCGTCAGGAAGGCATATCTTGCCATCAACGTCAAGAGATCCTGATTTTATACCGAGCACATCATGCCACCAACCGCACAAAATAACAGTCAGAATTAAATGATCTTGTAAGAGATTTAAAACTTCCAAAATGTAAGGCAGAGTTGCTTGGATCAAGACTGCAGCAGTGGAACTTGTTAGAAGACGATGTTTCGGTATGTGTTTTTCGTAAACGCCACAAAGACTTAGAACCATTTTTCAATATGGAGAATAACTTGGTTTTCTGCAGTAACATTAACGGCTTACTGGCGGCTTTAAATATAAACTATAACCCAGAAGAATGGAGATTGTTTATAGACAGTTCAACATTGAGTTTAAAGGCAGTGTTATTGCATATTGGACATATTTTACCATCTCTTCCTGTAGGGTATGCAGTTCACATGAAAGAATCATATGACAATATGAAGTACCTATTGACATGCATAAAATACGATCAGCACCAATGGCATATTTGTGGCGATTTGAAAGTTGTTGCACTTTTACTTGGGCTGCAGATAGGCTACACAAAGTTTTGCTATTTTTTGTGTGAATGGGACAGTCGGGCAAAGGCACTTCATTACACCAGACAAAACTGGCCTGTTCGTCAATTCCTAGAGCCAGGTCAAAAAAATGTACAGCATAGGCCATTAGTAGATTCGAAAAAAAATTTATTACCACCACTGCATATCAAGTTGGGCCTAATGAAAAACTTTGTCAAGGCATTAGATAGAGATGGGTCAGCTTTTCAATACCTGCGTCAGAAATTTCCAAGACTAAGTGAGGCAAAGGTTAAAGAAGGTTTTTTTGTTGGGCCACAGATTCGAAATATTTTGAAAGATACACAGTTTGAAAACACTTTAACAGGTATTGAAAAAACTGCTTGGAATGATTTCCATCTGGTGGTCACTAATTTCTTGGGAAATAGAAAAGCTGACAACTATAAAACCTTTGTCAAAAATATGCTGTCATCGTATCAAAAGATGGGCTGTAATATGTCTCGTTAAGATACATTTCCTACACTCACACCTGGACTTTTTTCCTGACGATTGCGGAGCCGTAAGTGATGTAGCACGGTGAACGTTTTCATCAGGATATTTCAACAATGGATAAAAGGTACCAGGGAAAGTGGAATCCTTCCATGCTTGCAGACTACTGTTGGACTCTTGGTAGAGATGCTCCAGAAACGATCCGTAAAAGAACAGCATATAGTGATTCTTATAAGTATATGAATCTTGTTACTTTTTTTAATATATCCTTAAAAATAAAAAGTTTTTTTTCTAAACCGCAACTAATTTTTTTATTTCATTGTCATTTTTAGAAAATAAACAAAGAAGTGCACTTTTCCCACAAGATACAATTAAAAAACTAAAATTTGTTGTCCAGTGTTATCAACCTTAACAGCTAATGAAATAAATAAGTAAAGTATAACTACTTCCGTCTTCTCATGAGCTAATTTCAAACCATTTTCTTCCTTCCAGGTGGACATTCTCGTGATTCCGTATGCCAAAAGAGGCCTTCAAGTGTATTTCTCTCCTTTATAGTTACTATTATTGCAAAGATGTCAGCCATTGTGTCGTGTTAAAGGCATTCTTAACGTCAAAAACAACCATAACGCAAAGCTTCTTACTACAAGTGGTGCCGCTATCCGCTACTTTCGCCAGCCGTGGCATGGTTCATCTACAGCAGACTTCCCCTTTCTGAAACCATATTGCGAGGAAGACAGCCTTCTTTAGAAAACGTGTATATCATAGCTACGACTTCTATCTGAGCGACAGCTTACGTGGAGTATTTAAATTATCTTAAAAAAAATCAATATTACGAGGTTTTCCGAAGCGGTAATCCATCCATATAATAGCCGCTCCCGATCCCCGACTTTGGTATCTGGGCAACCGGACCTGACAGACCTACTGACTTCCAAGACTTTAACCAAGAGTCCTACGGACCGTTCTGACAGACAATGATGAATAGAAGAAGCCGCTCTTGATGATGATTAACTTCGCCGATTAGATGAGCTGGCATTATAACACAATGTGGCATTGTTGTGTCAAATCTTTTGTTCACAAACTAGTTCCTAGAACTGATTCGTTTTAGCGAATACGACGTATCGAACTTGTTCGCCGAAATGAATTAGAAACATATTAGACCTGGGTAACCAAGTGGTTGGCGCGTCGAGCTATTAACCGGTCGATCCGAGGCAGGCATCTTCGCCTCTGAAGCTAATTCCGAACCATGGATGTTGTGTTGTTTCTATCACGCTCCAGATCTGTGCAAGATCAACATAGGTACATCGCATCGTTGGAGCTGCTTTTTTTTCAATAATCATTTACCACTAGCTGGTTTGTGGTACTACTGTAGTGTTCGTACCATGGGGTCGCGAAAAAGGAACAAAAATGGACTAGCCCAGGCTTCATCGCTCAACTACTATGTATATAAAGTATGTTTTATCTATACAAGGTAGTCATTTTTTACAGGAGAAAAACGATATACCTGCGAAGTATGTAAAAAGTCGTTCTACCAAGCAGCTGATCTAAAACGTCATTTCGTCAAGCATACTGGTTTGAAGCAGTTTCAGTGCCAACATTGTGGCAAGCAGTTTTGCACAAGGAGCGGCTTAGAGAAACACGCTCACCAACATTTAGATGAGACGAGTACTAGTGTTAAACAGAAAAGCTTTTTATGTATGATTTGCGGTAAGGGTTTCACAGCAAATACATCACTCAAAGTACACAAGAGAAGGCACACCGGCGAGACCCCTCACGAATGTCAGTTTTGTAGTAAAGCCTTCACGGATAAGACTAGTTTGACACAGCATACGATGAGGTACCATACTGGAGAAAAACCATTTGCCTGTATGATTTGCGATAGAAAATTTTATGATTCAACGAATTATAAGAAGCATATGAAGAAAGAACACTGTGTCGTCGATCCTAAAGGGAATGCTGAAGTAACCAGAGTAGAAGAGAACTGATCGATAATAAATGATTTTTTTGCTTTTAGAATATTTCTATTATAAAAAACAAATACTTATCTTCCGACTCTTATAAGTGCCAGCTGGCACACAGGAAACCGATTTGTAAGTCAGTGCCGTCGGCTCTTAGAAGAGCCACAAAAAATCCTCTAATTAAAAAAACATTTTACGAAAAAACTCAATAACTGATTTTACAAAGTTATACTACCAAAATAACAAATTAACCATTATACAACTAATTGGCTCCTGGGTAAAACCATCCTAAAAAGGTGGCAGTCAACGTGTTAATGTCGCCTCACGTGTTAATTAGTCTATGGTCACCTTAGACATCCATCCTGTTTTCTATTGTCGTAAAAGATAACAAGTGACCCATACAGCTTGAATATACTTTATTTGTAAAAATTAGGTATACATTGATGTTCAAAAATTGTAAACCATATATAAATAAAATGCTGATAAACCAATATATGAAAATACTGTGTTTCTTTGGCAAGAACAATAACATTCAAGGATTTTTAATGTAGCAAACCTACAAGCGCTTAGTTTGTATACTACAAGTAAGAATTCAACAGTTGCTTACTGCCAGTGCTAACTTTGAAAACCTGGTTAAGTAAGGTAAAATACATCCTGAGGATGAAAATAGGATGATTGACTTACGACAAGACAAATCATTTTCAACATGAACCATGAATATCAATTTGAAACTTTTGCCAGCTCCCAAAAATGAAATATTTGTGAATATTTTTGTGATTTTTCGTATTGGAGAATTACACTAGACTAGCTTGTCTTTTATGGCAAATGAAGCATTTTATTACTGCATATAAACATACAGTATGATCAACCAAAACTGGGGTTTGGTTTGTATTTTGTCTGTACAACTATTCTGCATGAATATCAATTTTTGCAATTACTGATTTTCATTGTTACAACAGGTTTAAGTCATACTCTGAAGGTTTATTGCATGTTACAAATGTTGAAAGTGTACTATTTAGAAATAATTTGGATTTGTAGTTTTGTTTTATAAACACACTTTCGATTTGAAGGAAAAATGCTTGAGTAGACCAAACTGGTGATATTTATATTATGCCCTATATCAGTGCCATAATTTGTATCATTCTGTATCATATTCCATAAAAAGCATGCTAGACCAATGAACCAAAACATGGCATCCATGTTCTAAAAATATCAGTTAACGTTACTGTTACAGTGAACCGTGTTTTCACCCGTCAGAGTATCTGTTAAATACGATATTTTCAAGTTGCGTGCGATATGTTGCTTCTCTATTGGGCTGTTCACACTCCAAGGTATCACTCGTATACCTTTCTTCTTCCATTGCAGAATAATGTCACTACAAAAAGTATAACAGTTATTTATTGTAGTAAACAGTAAAATGAAGCAGTACTTCTCAGCATTATTTAATAAAAATTATAAGAAAAAGCTACGGGAATAATTTAAACATAAGGGACGTCCATATATGTCAGAACAATATAGCAGCTTGGGAAGATAGAGGGGTGCTTGTTACTAGTGACTACCATAATGGGTCTAGAAATCATAATGTCTCACATTAGTTAAAGTGAACTTTTTTCAATAAGATAATCAATACATGAGTAATACCAACCCTGATAGAGCATCTTTGTGCAATAATAAGGCAGATAACCCCAAGAAATAGTATGTAATTCTTGGTAAGCACCAAGCATATACAATATCGTTCAGCTCGTTGAGGATGTGTTTGTGCCAAGCAGTTGCCCTTTTAGACCCTTTTCCTTCTGGATATTTGTAGGATTCGTACGCGAAGAAATGGGGCCTCCATGCTAGCGAACAAACTATTTTTGGATTTCCTCTCCTTATCTAGAAATTTGGTTGAAACATTACATATTTTTTATTTCAGTCAAATATAAGGATATTTTAAACGGGTTTCATTTATAATAATGAATTTACAAGGTGTCAAGTGTGGGCTAAGGATTTAAAATGTGAGTTTCTGCATTATGCTTAGACCAAAGAATAGCTATATAAAGAGAAGGCAGTTAGACAAATAAAATTAGAGATATATGACTCCCAAAAACATGGCGCCCACAAAACAGCTGATGGCGTTTAAACACGGATGTTGTCATCTAGTCGGAATTAAATGTTTGTAGTGAACGTATCTTGTGTTCAAATTTATGTTTGTTTGGACATTTATTCATGGTGGGGATATTTATCATCCATTTGCGACATATATGTTTCATTCAATAAAGTTATAAATCACACTTTTTCGTAAAGAAGCTCTTCTCAAAACCTGTAAGTTATCACATAGCTATTCAACTTTTAAGGCCCTACGCGCAATACTTCACGACTTAGTTTAGTAATAAAAGAAGTTCGTCACATGGAATTCAAAAGTTTCCTAAACCCAAATTGTTTATTTGATGAATCGCCGGTCTAGTTGACATAGCCGCGAGTTATCTAGATAATCTGACCTTAAGACGATATGTCGATAAACCGTGAAAAGAGCTGAAATCCATTCTGATTACTATATACTTCTGTTCGTACAGTTGTCACCAACCTGTCAGTGATCGTGTCCAAGACCCCGCCACACAAATTCCGTTCATTCTGCTACGCTATATAGACGGAATTCACACGACTATATCCCAGACACAGTCGCCAACAAGTCACCGACCACTGTACGAACAAACCATGGATGTAGCGTTTTATAAATATTTTATGACAGCTTGGCGACACCGCCTCAAAAGCAAACGACGGTCCGCACAAGATAGCTGTTTTTACTTGTCAACCAGTAATAGTCCAAGAGCCGACCGCAATGTTTTGATTACAACGCATGCTGAGATGAAATGTTAGATAGATGGATAGATAGTTTAGTCCTATTAGATCTTGTTACACGATATAAGAGCTGTTAATATGAAACTTAAGGTGTTATATGCGTTTGAGCAAATATGCCGGAAAAATACGTATACGTAAATATAAAATATGCAATAAATAAATAATATACTGAGGGACAAAAAGATGTAAACACCTACGTATGTTTATTAGAATTCTAGAATTTTTTACATACCGATTTATCCTGCCATGAACAACAAGTGATAAAATGGTCAGGTTTTTCTGTTAAGTTTTTGTGGTGGCTGCGTGTTTTGTTTGGTGATAAAGAAGCATTCAGTTTTCGTACATTTACCGTATCAGTTAAATGTTAAATTTCGTGTATTTATTGAGAAGCATTTTTGTGATTGCTCAAAATGCTTTGATTGCGTAGAATTCGCCGGGTGTCCCAGCTAAGTGACTTTGAGAGGGGTCGAATTGTCGGGTTGCGTGAAGCCGGCCTATCGATAAGAGAAGTTTCTAGGAGGACCAACAGATCCTTACGCAGTATATTGCAGTGTGGACGAGCGAGGACTCGGGAAGGCCGACGACAGCGAGCGAGGGGTCCTGGTCGTCCCAGAGGAACCGCAAATCGACATGACCGCCGGTTAAGACTTCTGGCTCTGAGAGACAGATTTTGTAGTACTCGAGCCATCGCTAATCAGTGGTTTGAAGAACTTGGAAGGATGGTTGGTATGCGTATGGCATATCGCCGAATACGACAGTTTGGCCTTTTTTATTATCGCCCACATTGGGTGCTACCTCTAACATCTGAACATCGGCGAAACCGTTTGCTCTGGTGTGGAGAAATAATTCTATTAGATTGGGAATGGAATCAGGTGGTCTTTAGTGACGAATCCCGCTTCTGACTGGGGATACACGATGGTCGGGCAAGAGTGAGAAGGCGACGTGGTGAAAGACGTGACCCACAATTTAACAGAGAGCGTCACGCTCACCACACCGTGGGAGTTATGATATGGGATGTTTTTGCTTATGGTAGCAGATCACCACTAATTTTCATCAGAGGCAATATGATAGCCCGACGCTATATTCAGGAAGTAGTGGAGCCTCATCTTATTCCTTTCCTAAACACCATCCAAAACGCGATTTTTCAGCTAGATAATGCCAGACCGCATGTTGCCAGAGCAGGATTAGCCTTCATGGATGAAAATCGCATCAACCGTTTACCTTGGCCACCACGATCGCCTGACCTATCTCCAATTGATCATGTCTGGGACATGATAGGTCGCAGGCTCTTGAATTTGCAACACCCTCCACAGATTTTAGCTCTTACTCACGAAGTTGCAGTAGCCTGGAATGAGATATCCCAACAGGATATCTCAGTATAATAAAAATAAAAACTAGTCAATTCTTACGTATTGCTGTTTAGCATCCAAATACGTAAGGTGTGACTAGTTTTTATCATATCATATCAGTAAGCGATGATGAAGCAAAACATTTACGATTGGCTTCCCTACTATAATGCAGCCTGGCCAGGTCCGACCTAAAAAAACATTGACACAAACTATAAAGAGAAAAAAAAGGACCTGCATTTAAATGGCACAGATCACAACATTGACCACCAAAAAGAGAAAAGCTTAAAATATTGCACTTCTCAGGAAAAGTAAACAATCAAATACCCGTGGATATGCATCTTTAACCTTTTTTTTAAATTGCTTAGGCTATATTCTTTAAACTCACTTGACAAGCAGATATGTATATAGTTTGGGTGCCCAGTACGAGAAACTACGTGTGAACAATGCTGTCGAATGCGGCGGGATAAGTAAGATGCTTTTATTCCTAGAGGATCTTTGTACGTAATGACAGAGGAGATCTAGCTTTGAATAAAGATAATATGGCGCTTTAAGGAGAAGGGTCTTATGTACCAACGATAGGCAATGCAGTTTCCTCATTTTGTTCATCTTAAACCATCCCGATTGGTCAAAAGCGCTACTAATATGATCAAATTTACGGATTCCATAAGAAAATCTGATGTATGAGTTTTGTATCATCTGAATCCGCTCGGCATCACGTTGTAAGAGAGCAGGTCCATAAACAGCGTCACCGTACGATAATTTTGGCAGGATAATGGATTTGCAGAGTTTAAGCTTGAGCGACTCGGGTATAACTGACGAAGCACATTATAGGACGAATTGCATAGTTGGTTAACATGTTTAGTGAAGCGTAGCTTGCAGTCAATCCAGATACCAAGGTTTTTGCATTCGTTTACGAAGGATATGTTTTCATTATTCACCATAATATTAATGCGATATTGATTTATTTTACAATTCTTTTTGGGCCCAAATAAAATGCAGCAAGATTTGCCAGCATTCAGTTTTAGATTGTGAGCACTAGATATGTCAAAAATAGACTGTAGATCTTGATTGATTTGATGTTGGCCAAGCATATGTTCATCAGAATCGAAGCTGTTATAAAGTTGGAAATCATCGGCGTAATGATGAACGATTGACTAGCTGGCGGTTTCATGAAAATCACATATATAAAAAGCAAATAAAAAGGGGCTCAAAATAGATCCTTGAGGGACACCAAAATTTCTGAATAAAGAAGTTGATATATTGTTTTCATATATGACAGACTGTGAGCGATCAGTTAAGTAGCTTCTAATCAGCGTGCAAGCTGATAAGGACAGACCAAAGTATCTAAGCCTTGCTAAAATCAAGAAGAACTAAGCAAGACAGCTTTCCTTGATAAGCCGCGCTGTAAATATTATCCGATATAGATAGGAGCGCAGTAGTGGTGTAATGGTCTGAAGCCAGATTGGGAGGTGGTCAGTAAATTATTTTGACAAACAAATGTGTACAGCTGCTCATGTAGAGCCATTTCCAAAAGCTTAGATAGACTTGGTAAAATGCTTATAGGACGAAGATCATAAAAACTTGAAGGATAATTAGATTTAGGCAGAGGGAGAACAAGAGAATTTTTCCAAGAGGAGGGATACGGATCATACCAATTGTGATGCCATCTGAGCCTTTAGCATGACTTTTGATGGCGATTGATAAATTTCTCTACAGTGGCAGGGGAAACTGTCGTGAACAAAAAAGTACCATTATTCTTGACGTTTTCATATTTGTCTAAAGGGTTTAATCGAGTTAATGTTTCGGTTGTTTGAGGTACGTTTAAAAAAGCACTATTTAATGAATCGAGATCCTGAAGATGTGGAGGTAGACTTATGGAGTTATGTTTAACGATATTCAAAGATCTGAGTATATTCCATGTAGTCTTCGAATTTTTCTGTCTCATAACATAATCGAGGTAGTCTTTTTTCTCTCGCCTAATAGCACCATAAACATAATTTCTGATTTCCTTTTAGAATTCCCAGTCAGCAATCGTTCTTGTACGTTTAAATTTTTTATATGCGTCACTTTTTGTTCGCTTCATAAGTTTTATGTTGAATGTTCGCCAAGGAGCTGGTGGCTTGGTAACACGAATTTTTCTGACAGGAGCATGCAAGTTGAAGGTGCACAGGATATTAGAGCTCAGGAAGTCAATCATTTGATCCACAACTCTCAACGTATATATAAAATCCCAGTTTATTACAAGTAAATCATGGTAGAAATTGTCTAGACTAAAGGTAATCACGATACGTCCTCAGCTTACATAGGTTGCCCATCTCCGATGCATCTACATAAAATATTAGGGCCAGATGGTCAGATATTCCATCTACGTCAGCAACTACATAACCACTTATTATATCAGCAGAGCTAGCCATGAGCAAGTCTATAGCTGTCTGACTATTGGAAGTTATACGTGTGGGCTCTTTAACTAACTGCGACAGATCAAAAGACTCAAGAAAACAGTTCAGTATCTCGGATCGGCCGTCGTTCACTAAAAAATTAATATTAAAATCGCCCATGATAATTGCGTAATCATTATCGAGTGAAAGGTTGGCTAAAGACTCAATTAATTGATGAAAACAATCAAGCACGTTTGCCGATGGTGGACGGTAGACGACAGCTAGACAATATTTGCGTTTATTAACCATTGCAGAGATCCAAAGTTCTTCCAATACTGTGGTGATATTAGAGTGCAATATTTTGAAGGCAATACCATTTCTCACATAAAACGCGACGCCTCCGCCGCTGCTAGTTCGATCTGCTCTAATGACATTGAAGTCGTTGATAAATACTGAAGAGGTATCAATGTCTGGAGTTAGCCAAGTCTCACTGAGACCCCGGACATCGACAGCACAGTCAACAACATACTCCTTCAAAGTTAGAAAACCAGACTGAATTGACCTTACGTTGAAGCTCATGAATTTTAGATGTCTGGACATATTGAAAACAGGTAGAAAAAAAATATATATAAAAAAGTCCTCTAGTGAAGTTGGTTTGGATCTGGCGAAGGTTATTCTTAAAGAGGAGCCAACATATTTTGCAAGTAAAATGAGTATAACCACGTTATAAATATATTACATCTATACAGAATAAAGAAAATGCAACAAATATATGCAATACTAATAAAAACACCCGGATAAAGATAGAATAATAAATCGATAAAACAATGTATAGGAAGGGGTTGAGCGTTTGCAAATTCACGCACAAAAACACACAACACAATAGTTCAGTTACTTCGAAGTACTGCATAGTTTAGGCCCTTTGAGTGGGGAAGTTTAGATGAGCCTGCTGGAACTATCTTGTTGACCTTGCTTAGTTCATATTGCAGTCTCTTTTCCCCTCTTTTCGTATCTTGAGGGATCAGTTGTTCTTCAGTATTTTTAGCCTGCTTAGAGGTAACTGTCTCAATGATTCATTCATCCTAATGGTCGTCAATATCGCCATTCTGTAGCTTTTCCCAGGGAAATGCTTCGCCATTGACATAAAGAATATTGTTTTTAATAAACGCAGAATTAGATGCTTCTCTGACTTTTTTTAGGTGCTGATGAAGTAATTTTCTCTTGGCGTATTCTTCTGGAGTATGATCGTTATCGACAAACAGGCCAACACCTTTAGAAAGTTTTCATGCCTTCTCCAAAACTTTTTGTTTTACGTTGTAATTAACGAATTCGACGATAAGTGGCCTAGCTCTATTATCAGCATCGGATAGCTTTTTACCAATGCGGAAACAGTCCCTTACGGCACTTGGGGAAGTTTGAGTTTTCCTTTTCGATATCTCTATACTTATTATTGATGTTGTTTATTTCTTTTTCTGCTTCATTATCAGTCTGTTCAAGCTATTAATTTGTCCCTTGAGTTCTTGATTACCATCCTTGATCAGCTTGTATATGTCCCCGAGAGTTACCCCTGTTGTAACCATTATTTACGTGATCTCTACCAGTCTATCTGTATAGTAACCTTATCGTACAGTAATGTGTTCTGTCACCTAGGGTCTGAGATATATTACACTGGAACTGTTTCGATAGCTCCTTCAAAAATTTGGCATCCTGTAGGCGTGACTTATATAAGTGGGGAGTACCATATATGGATTATTTGTAAACAAATTTGACCATGCAGAAAAAATAAATTGCGTTTACTCATATGCTTTCGAATAACTGGGTAATTCTTGTACTAATCCACTGAGGCCACTTAATCACAACATAGTGTTATAAAAGCAATAATTATACTTTGGTTAAACCCATACTTTGATGATTTTGTATAAGAGCAGACCCAGCGTAGACTCGCGCCCTCGGAGATTATTCACCAAATTGATGAAATATGGTCTCAAAATCATTCAAAGAATTATCCTTGAATTTTTGTCCCATGGTTTTAGTAAGATGCTTGAGGAAACTAATTTGGCAAACTTCAAATTTTTATGCATAACAACAATTAGAACTCACCAAATAAATTATATTTGGGAAAAATGACGACACTACAGCTCTTGAATACAATTCCTCTTTTCTGACAAACAAGTCATGAATGACACCTACTACCTAAAATATAAAAAATGTAATGATGTAAAAAACTAACGCTAGTTCTGATAGGATATGGTATATGTACATATTAGTTGCATCACAAAAATTTCATCAGATTCTACTATGAGAGTCTTACGAGCCCATTCCCACTTCAGTTGGCCCAACTATTGAAATCTTAGTTTTTTTCTTATCAAACACAAATAATAAAAATGTAGCAGGGTGTTATAGGTTTAAAATATTAACAATGAATATTTTGATAATATATAGTAGAAAACACCAACTATATCACTCCCTAATCAAATTTGCAGCATAAAAATAACACATGTTGCAATTACAGCATATCAACCTATTTTCATTTCAATGCAAAGTAAGTCTATAACGCATAGGTGGCTGCGAAAAATAAAAGCCATGACAATTGTTTTTATTAATCACAGCTGTCAGAATACGTTTAAAATAGTTTTGGGTAGTTAAGGTTTTCAAAATGGGTAGAGGAAAGGTTATTAGTGAGAAAAATCGGTTACTGATAATTAATTTTTTTAATTCTGGGAAATCAAACTCAAAAATTGCAACTTTGTTAGACTTATCGCGGTACAGTGTGAGAAATATTATTAGAAGATATAACGTAACTGGTTCAGTTAATATCGAGCCACATATGTGAAAAAAAAATAATATCACAAATGCCGACCGAAGAGCATTAAGAAGAATAATCGTGAAAAACAGGCGTGCTAATTATTTACAATTAAGTGCTCTTTGGAGTGACGCTGTTGGAAGGAGAATTTCGAGGTCCACAACTCATAGAGACGCCCACAAACTGGGATTTAGCACTTGCAAGGTAAGTTTTCTTATAGAAAAAAGTGAAGTAAAAACCCTAAAGTTGCACAACTTGTTTATAGGCCAAAGAAAAGCCACTATTAACTCCACTGCAAAAGAAAAATCGGCTTAGATGGGCTAAAGAACATAAACAATGCACACCTCAACAATGGTGTGCAATACAATGCAGTGATGAGGCCCGCATCGAAGTTTTTGTTGGTGACAGTCGCAGTAGAGTTATTCTCAAAAAAAATGAAGCATTCCATGTTGACTGTCTGAAGAGAAAATTGAAATATCCAGCATCCATTATGGTCTGGGGCAGTATGTCATCAAAAGGAGTAGGAAAACTTCATTTTATTGATGGAAATGTCGATACAAACAAATATTTGGCAATTTTAGAAGAATCGCTTTTACCAGTGATGGAAGAATGTTTGACATCCGGCCAAGATTTTGTGTTTCAGCAAGATGGTGCAGCATGCCATACCTCAAAAAACGCTATAAAATGGATGGAAGAAAATAATGTACCACTTTTGAAATGGGTTTCTAGCAGTCCAGATCTGTCACCTATTGAAACTTTGTGGCACGAGATGAAAAAGGTTCTACGACAACATCCTGCTCCTACAATCACCGAACTGAAACAAAAGCTTCAAGAAATATGGGATTGTTTTACACCAAATTTTTGCCAAAACTTGGTTAACACTACGCCCAAAAGAATGTCAGCTGTAATAAAAAATAAAGGTGATGTTACCCAATGGTAATCTTTCAATTGTTGCTTTGTTAACTTCGCGCATTTATTCGCACATTATTTATTTGTTCACACGTTCTATTAGTTATAGGTCTAAGTGATTTCAAATATGTATTTTTGACGATTAGAGTGTATCTAAAATGTTTTTGAGAAAATAAATTGTTTTAGAAGTATATAGTTTCGTCATGTTTAGTTTATAAAGGCATATTTTGGTACAAATCTTGAAGTGGGCCAACTGAAGTGGGAAGGGACTCGTATATGAAGTATGATACACCACCCATGTGCGAAATCATAACTATAATTAATGTAGTTGTTACTAAATTAAAAGAAAAAAGTGGGTCTACCCAATTTTACCTTAGTATCATTGTCTTTAATATCTATGAACATCCTCTGGCCACACACTAGCATCTGATCTACAGCCTGTTCTAATGTGGGTATGTTAGTCACGCCATACCTATCTCTTCAAAAGAATAAACGTGTGTTATATGTAGGTGAGAAGCAGATTTAGTTAAACATTTTAGTGCTGATGAGACCATGGAAGAATGTGAAAATCATTTGAATGTTAAAGATAGGATACCTGAGTGGATGTTTGACAGATAAGTTGATAACTTTTAAGTCTTCCCATTGTGTTTTACATATTTCCATGTCGATATCAGCGATTCTTTCTAGGGTGGAGTCATGGAACACAACAGGAACACCATCTTGAGTGAGCTTAATGTCAAATTCTATAAAATCACATCCTTTCTCCGCACACTGAAAATATTTTCTAAGTGTAATAACGAATAATCCAAACATTTGAAATAATAGTAAATAATAAGTGAATTGGGACACTTCTCTTTATTGTACGACATTTCAATTGTCAAAATGTATCAGAAACTTTAAACATATGAAAACCACAGGATATGTATCTGATGTTACATTATTGAAAGCCTGTTGCAATATGTCCAGGTACAGTTCATCAACAGATGTACTATTACCTGTTACAGTAAAAAAAGATACTAGACTGGATGAGAATCTAAAAAAGTTCAATCTGTTTGGGAAGAGTTTCATAGTATACATGAAAAAATATGAACTATAACCCATATAATTATGTATTCAATATAAAAAGAAATATTCTTTGAATTATAGTTTTCTTTATGAACAAGCCTATTGTGTTTTGCTTGCCTATAAATACTGTAATTACAGACTTTGTTACTGGCAATGAATACATTTAGTTGATATAAGTAGAGATCGACTAATACAGGATTTTTGCCTACACCGATAATTGGCCAATACAGATATATCAGAGACCGATATCTGGCGTTATCGGCAGTTTGTTTCTTTCCGTACACATCCGGTATATTTAAAGTTTTCAAACAGAATAGTCCGTATATTTACACATTTTGTCATTTCGCCTTTCACAAGATTTTTTCTGATATTAGGTTTATTGGGGTTTGTATGAGTTACAAAAAGCACAGGGACCCCTTCTGGACTTTTTGACTTTATTGCATGAGGCTTAATTTCATTCGTAATGAAAATATATCAATTCGAAAGATCTTCTGTTACTGTTAGTTTTATATTTTGAAAGGTATTGTCATATTTCTCATTTACCTTGATATCTGATTTACAATAAAGTTAGCTGTAACTCAAAAACCTCAAGTAAAAAGCTTGTAGTTATGTGATCTAAGGATGTGAACATATACACCATAGGGAAAAAATGTGGGATCATAAAAATTTTAATGTCAAAAAATTCAGCACCCTAGCTATAAAAGTTGTGGAAGAGAGTTGTCAAAGTTGAGTGTTTTGTTCGATAGTTTGTCCAATATTTCAACATTTTGAAAATAAAACCCTATAGTATGTTTATGCTACCATGTAGTTATGAATTACCCTGTAGAGGGTGGTATATTTTTCAAGTAAGGAACATACTGTTGGCTACAATTTTTTCCAAATAGCATGTATAAAAACAGAGCTATTAACCAAGCCCACACTAAAACCTCATCCTGTATGTACATCATAACATTTACTTGATCAGTTTACATTGCATAAACATAAATACCATACACAATTGTCTAATATAAGTAAAACTGAGAATATGTTTACATAGCTACTGATCAAAAGACTGACGAAAACGATAGACATTTGTGGCCTATGAAAAAAATGACTTTTTAGGGGAAAAACAGTGAATACATCAACTATGAAGTATCATCTTTCTAAGTATCACACATTGACTTGTTTCACTTTATTATACATGTAATAAAAACATGTTACTTTAATACAATTAAAATATATTCCTATGTATTGCGTTGTGCATAACAGGATATGGGCAGTCCTATCAGCTGATTCATGAAATCATCAAAATAGGATGACTTTGCCCATATACATATTAGCATCAGTTGTTCCCTGGTTATGTGGCTCATTAATCTAGACATGGGATAATGAGGGGATTCTACGTCTTTTTCTCTTTGGCTATGTCTGGTTCCTGGGTAAACAAGCCATAAGGCCCAAGACCCTAAATTCTGCCAAGAAAAAGGCTCATATTGATACACAGCTCATCTTATACTTAGTACACATGCCTATATCAATTCAATGTCAAGAGGGTAGAAATAATTATGCAATTTTGTGTTGATAGCATGTTAATTTGGAGAGGAGGTCTACTTCAGGAAAATGGTGGTGTCATTTTCAAATTTCATTATAAAAAACTGCATCTAAGTTGTGATATTTCATTTGAATAACACACTCCAATGATGCAAATAAATTCGTTATGAAATAATTATTTAAGATTAGTAAAACTTGTTAGTGAATTTGACAATGTGAAAAGATAAGCAGGTAACATTGAAATATGACTTTAACAAAAAAAAATGCTACTTATAGCAAGTTGCAGTTATTTATCTTTTGGTAGTATGAATATCTAGGTCTGTCTTAAGAGATATGTAGGGGGTACCTGGGCACAGAGGAAGTTCGGGGCTTGCAGCTAGTAGATGGGTCAGGGCAAAATCCAAATCCATATTTTGCTAGTGGGTGGATATTTTTTAAAATCCCACAGATATTTGTGCATTTGGGAAGCACTCATCAAGCTTTGGCATTAGCTCCATATGAAGATGTGAATATTTTACATTCAAGTCTATTTGTACTCATGTAAAATTATTGCAGTTTTTCATATTGTTAACTAATCAATGTTGAATGTGTTGTATTTATTACATAATAAAGGCAAGCAACTTGCAACTGGGTATATTTATAGCCCTTATGTAATTAAAAACTTACCATTTTAAATGCAGTAAGAGTATTTTCTGGGGCATCCAACCCGGCGCCTCTGTGAGCAACAGTTTTCAACACATAGTCATTTCCATCAACATTTTCGTGTGGCTCCTTACCTAAAATAACATCCACTATTTGGGGATCGGGAGGAGGTACTCTAAAAAAGTGTATAAGAGCCACCAAAGCTACAGTCAGCAATATACTGAATGGAAATATACTACAAAATATGTCTTTAATCAGATAACAGGTGCCATACGTAACGTATGTGATAGTTAAAGCACTGGGTATTAATTTGATGAAGTCTATATTCATGTTTGTCACAATGTTAAGCCGAATTTGGTCAAACAAAATAAAATTCCCTTAACCAAATGAGAGAGTACTTGAATATACATTTGATAGTTTGATACCGCCCCTCCCTAACCTCTACTTATATACCTCTAATATCACCTTTCAAATATAATTGTTTTTTACACTTCAAATTCCTGACAGATGACAGCGCAATCGAGTGCGTTCCACAATCTGAAAGCTTGGTCAGTCCGATTACATCTTCCGTAACTTTATTGCTTTCTAAATCAAGTTCAAGCGGATAACCAAATGGAAATGGTATTTACCATTTTGGGTTGGTATTTACCAATCCGTTCAAGCGAGTGTAGTTATCAGTTTGGTTATAAGATCCGTGACGTCACGAATCAGCTGTTATGTGTCATAGTTATCACCGCAAAATTGTGGTATTTACCCAACTCAAGAGTAGTTTTATATTTCTGGTTATTATTTGAAATGTGACAAGTTAGAATTTTGCCGGGTATTGGATATTGTTATTGTACTTCAGCTTCATTTTTGAGAAAAATGATACAGGCTGACTTCAGTTTTACCATAAAGTGGAGCACCTTATTAGTTATACTCATTACGGTTGTTGGGGACACTTTAAATGTAGTTCCTATGCTTAACAAAGTATCATTTGTAGCCATATAGCACAAGGATATTAAAATATGGCCATATAAACTCACTAGATGATATCCACCTGTATACGGTTTTGCTAATTTCTTTTTTCATCATTTCTGCTGAATCAATAAATGTTTTCTTTGACATGCGGAAAAATTTAGAGAATTGAAAGTTATCACAGCTACAAAGCCATGGTTCCATCATTAAAAAAAAATCTGAAAAAAACATTTCTCCCATGAATATTAAGAAAGGTTTCCTATTTAAACTTTCCATATACAGTTGTAGACGAAAAAGCACCGATGATTAAGAGATAATAAAAATAGTCAGAGATTATATACGCGCTTTTCTAAAATAAACAACTTGCAACAAAACCGCGGTTAAAACCAACGCGTTCAAGCGATTCGTGTAACTGACGTCATCAACCCGTGTGTCATCTTGAACCATATTATAACCGCGGCACATAACACAGAAATTTTGGTTATTCGCTTGGATTTGATTCTAGTTTTATTAGATTGACGCCTTTAACACGGCACACGAGGCGGTGAATGCCTTACAACGTTGGACACATGGCCATTCGCTACATCGCATCGGGTGGGAGAGCGCTGACGGATTGCATGTGTCCAACGTTCGCCACATGGCACGTTCAGGCTCTTATCGGTAAATTTGACCCGCGTCAAATGACGTTACAAGGTTGGGAGCATGGTTCGTTACGCTATACGCTCCCATGATAGTTTTAGGTTAGAACCAGTATCGGCCACAAACATTTAATTAAATCCAAGCGAACAACCAACATTTCTGTGTTATGTACCGCGGTTATAGTATGGTTTAAGATGACGCACGGGTTGATGATGTCAGTTACTCGAATCGCTTGAACGCGTTGGTTTTATCCGCGGTTTTGCTGCAGGTTGTTTATTTTTGAAAAGCGCGTATGTTATACCTAATTTCTGATTTTTTTATTATCACTTAATAATCAGTGCGTCTACAACAGTGATATGGAAAGTTTAAAAAAGAAAACTTTCATGATATTAATGGGAGAAATGTTTTTTCCTCAGAAGATATTGTTCATGTGTTGAATCACTTGAGAAAATCGCTCGTATGTTCACACAAGTGTCGTGAATATAAAGGATATGACGCCCAAAATTTTAATGGTGGAACCATGGATTTGTAGCTATGAGAACTTCCGGTTCTTTAAACATTTCCGTATGTCAAAGAAAACATTTATTGATTTAGCAGAAATGATAGGAAAAAGCGACGAAAAAAAGATATTAGCAAAACCATATACAGGTGGTCACTATCTACTGAGTTTATATGGCCATATTGTAATATTCTTGTGGTATATGGCTACACAGGATACTTTGTTAAGCATAGGAACTAGATTTAAAGTGTCCCCAACAACAGTGATGAGTATAACAAATAAGGTGCTATACTTCATGCTAAAGCTAAAATCAGCCTACATCAAGTTTCCCAAAAATGAAGCTGAAATGAGAGACATTAGTGAAGGTTTCAAGAAGTATCCAGGTAAGTAAACGTTTCTGAACACTGCAAACCTAGGGTGATACCGCCCCCTGCATTTCACAGAATTACTTCCCTATGGTTACTTTATATTACCCCAGATTCTCTCAGAATATTTCCCCAGAAACCGGCAATATTTCCTTGGGGGTTTCCCCCTCATGTAAGGCCTAGTCATTCACGTTTTAGACACAAATGGGTATTTAGTACAATTACTGTATATTATATTCAAACTTTTTTGTTTGGTCCTAATTGACGCCATCACAACCTATCCTGTAATAGTATTTATTGGAATATATATAATGTATTTAGTTAATAAGTTGCATCTGTTTCCACTTTTCAGTTTATTATTTTCAGGAGTTATTAGAGCAGTAGATGGTACCCACATATTTGAAAAAGGTTGAAAAAAGTCAACAAGATAGCTACATAGACCGCTATAGAAGAACATCTATAAATCTCATGGCAATATGTAATAATAATAATAATAATGCCTTTATTAACTGCAGTGAGGCGAAGTTTAGCCAAACGGCTACTCTTACACTCAACCCCACAACAGGAAAAAAAGAATACCTACACACATAAACAAAATAATAACATACCAAAAAAAAAATTCTTACACTTTATTCACCTAAGTGTTTTTAGGATACCCTGGATCTGCTCATGACTCACGGGTATGTGTTAACAAAAATAAGAAAACGCCCCATTTTGAAGTGAATATTTATTATATCTTTATTATATTGAAATAAAACTTCAAACTAGTATAAAAGAGGAAGTGAAAAAAGCTTTGCACCAGTTAAATTTTGGTATACAACACATTATAGGAAAACATTAATATTTTTTTATACTTTTATACTTTAATTTCAGGTTTTTGAAAATTCAATTATGAGTAAACACATTGAGAGACATGGGCCAACCTTCTACTTTTTGGATACTCAGAAATATCACCTAATTGGTGATAGTGCATTTGCATTAAGAACTTGGCTTATTACTCCTTACCGAGGCGACAATGTGACCAGAAAGCAAACATTTTTTCTATCCTTTTCCATTTCTCTTATCAAGTCATCATGCCGAGAAGGTGTTCCCTTTCGAGTTTTTTTAAATCGGCTAACTGGTGTTGGTGTTGAGGGACCCAATTGAGTTTCCTCTGAATCTGTATGATCTGGTTGTTGCTGTTCTATTTCATTTTTCACACTTTCTGATGTTTCATCCATTGAATCCTCTAGATTTAATGGGTTTTCCTTATGTTTGCATCCTAAAAATCATATTGGTAAGTACTTCCACCTGTTTTGACTAAGGAATCTAAAGGTACACATTTTTGTTTTTTGATGGTTCCTACCAGAATTTTTATAATTACAAACATGACAGAAGAAAAATTAAAATATAGTCATGACATACAATAACAATTCTACATGCTTGCTTAAGATAGTAATGTGAAAGTAAAAGAAGATATTAAACTAACCTAGAATGGAGGAATGTCATCAATTCTCTCACTTCCTGTTGTAGTTTGATGTTTCATGTAATATAAATAAGTTTTTTGCAAATCCGCAAACTTTTGACGACACCGCTCTCCTCCTTTGTTCCCAAGATGGAAATTATTTTCCTCTAACTCTTTTGCTAGGTCATTCCACAATTTAAGTTTTCTAGCTCTTTTGTCGTCAAAGTAAGTACTTTTTTCCTCTCTTAAGGACAACATTAAATGAGTTGCGTCATTATCTATTTCAGAAGGCTTCTTCTTTGTCCATTTCATATCATTAATAGATGGTTGAATGGTCGAGTCATTTTCATTGTGGGGCATAGACCACATAGATTGAAAATCATTCTGAGGTAGATTTTCGGAGTCATTGTACTCATGCTGAGACCCCAATGGACACATAGATAAAATATATTGCTCTGCAGCAGCATCTAAAATTTCATGCCAAACCTATTTGAATATAAAAAAAAGGCCACTCTCATAATTGATAAATCTTAAAGCAAAGTATGAGAGGTATCCAGTTCTGATACAGAGTTTATTATTGAATATGTGCATACCATGTAGAAAAAGTCACATAATATGTAGGTATCTAGAATCAATAAGGTCAGTTTTACCTTGCACCCCACCTCTGTAATATTTAAATAGCCCAGAAATATCAGGCTTTTTCTACAAGGTATACAATATACTATTCCTTGCTTATCATACTATATAGTTACCATTTAAAAGTAAATTGGCTGTTTCAAGGTCTTTAACGCAGACCTTGTAGTCTACGCCTTCATAGTTTAAAGTTAGATGAAATTGCTCCATATTATTTTCAATTTCTAACTTGTCACATTTCAAATAATAACCAGAAATATAAAACTGCTCCGGAGTTGGGTAAATACCACAATTTTGCGGTGATAACTATGACATATAACAGCTGATTCATCACGTCACGGATCTTATAACCAAAATGTGATTGTGGTGAAGTAGTGGTATGTGGACAGTATTTTGATTTGAATACCTACCTATTCATAATAATGTATGTTCCGTAACTGACTTTTTTTATATTGTGAATACTTTGTACGTTTCGCAGGTGAGTTATGGCTTTCCTAAGGATTTGTATTTTAGTAAATTATAAATTATCAAGTGCTTACAGTTGTTCCATTATAATGTCATGTTGCAATGCAAGACTAATTGACAAATATATAGACTTTCATTTCATAACTAACGAAAAAGATTAAATAAATGATAACTCTGAAAGTACTATCACAATTTTGATGAAAATTTGACCCTAGATTACTACTATGAAACAACGTTGGAAGCATCGTGTGGGACCCGCATTAAATCCCTCCCACACGATGTGGCGAATGCCTTAAAACGTTGGACACATGGCCATTTGCCACATCGTGTGGGAGAGCGCTACGGATTGCATATGTTCATCGCTCGCCACATGGCACGTTCGGGCTCTTGTCGGTAAATTTGGAAGCATGGTTCGTTACGCTTCCTCACGAGATGTCATGTGTTTGATGATTTTAGGTTAGAACCAGTAGCGGCGACAAGCATTATTTATTTGTGCGGTGATTGTGGCGAAGTAGTGGTATGTGGGAAGTATTTTGATTTGAATACCTACCTCTTCATAATAATGTGTGTTCCTTAACTAACTTTTGAGGAGAATGGATTAAGTCAGTATACATACAAACCATAGGCTGCCCTAACAACATTTTTTCATATTGCTAATATTTTGAAAGTTTCGCATGTGAGTTATGGCTGGCCTAAGGATATTATATTTTAGTAAATTATAAATTATCAAGTGCTTACAGTTGTTTCATTATAATGTCCTGTTCCAAAACGAGACTACTTGAGAAATATATTGACTTCAATTTCATAACTAACGAAAAAGATTAAATAAACGATAACTCTGAAAGGACTTTCACGATTTTGATGAAATTTTGACGCTAGGTTACTACTATGACGAAAAAGCTCTGCAGTTTTTGAAAATCGGTACTCTGACGGTGGAGCTATCGTCGAAAAACAAACAAAAAACAGTCAAACTTCGTTTTTCGACATTTTTGAGGCTTCTGACAGACTTGAGTTTTGCTCGCTGAGGACAGATCTTAAATTATTTTTCGGCGCTCAAAAAAATTGTTTCTCCGTTTATTTTGTATAATTTTACCTTCGGTTGTAAAGGTTCAAGCGTGACACTGACACCGATAATCGACGTTGGCACCACCATGCGTCGAACGTCCGAGACTAAAAAGTTCATCCCATTGTGTGGGAGACTCACTTGCCAATTGAGTGGTGTCGAACGTTGTATACACCGTTGTAAACAACGTTGGAAGCATCGTGTGGGACCCGCATAACTTATTCGCTGTAATACCTCCGGACCCGAGTAAAGATAACACGGTCACGCAAGACAACTGTTGAAATATACTCTATTAGACAATAAAAGGCTATCCGAAGCGGAATTTTTCCCGAAGTCGTTGCACAACACTTAAAAAAATGTAAATAAAAATTGGCTCCGTCGGTACCTCGGGATAGACGTTTTTATAGTTGACCTTGTCATTCTTGTCACCTGGATTGTGATGTTGCTACCTCCGCTATTTTGCTAGAATGTTATAAAAAACAAGTTTTGAATAAAATATTGAGGAATACCAATGAAGATATATAAAATTTGAGTCATAGCAACGTTTGCCAAAAAGCTAAAGGTGATTCTGATAAATAATCCCATTATACGTGCAAGAGCAAACAAAACAATATTTGTGTTTTATGCAAATTTGTATTTTTACTAATTGTTATCAAAATTTTAATCATTAATATCTCGCGTCCACTATTTGCACGTAAACATAAAACAATTATTTATATTGTAGATTTCCATGTGTATAAATAGTATGTGTGTAGGTATTTTGGATTATCATCATCAAGAGTAGAATAGGATTGATATTTAAATTACAAATACTTTGCATAATAATAATAAAAATAATTAATTTAACAAAGAACTTAACTTTTTGAAGGTGAATATGGTAAAACAACTAAAAAATATATTTTCGCATTCATTTATTTTAGATAACTACAAACATATAATTTTACAATATCTAATAATAATTGTCAAACATACTTGTTGTAATCTAGAATTGATCAATCAATAAAGTTATAGCAGTATGAGTTATTGTTATTACAATTTAATATTATACCTATTAGAAATACTAGCAAGTCGATAAACATAGACATTATCTAAGATTCAGTGCTACAAAATTTTATATTTAAACTAGGTAGTACCTAGCATAAATATTGTCATATAACGTCATAACAGTGTAAGTTTCATTAGAATGTGCTATACCTCCTACTAACAAGACGATATAGGTATATATTATACATATCTGATATTACGTCGAAGCTTTCTCTTGAGCTGTTTCAAGCACAGACATACTCCTAGCTTCCTAATATGAGATTTATATTTCAGGTCACCATATCTTTGTCTAATCTAACATGAGTCTAAGTTTACTTAGCTGTTGATCAGAGTTGGAACTTAATTTTTGTGAACAAGTTGTACAATAATACTGTGCTTTGAATTCAATGAGCTTGAACGATTGACCACAGACAGTAAAAGGCTCGATGACAAGGAGCTAGTTTACTCGCCGCTAGTGCGCTTTTTGACTAGCTGCTAGTAAACTAGCTTTTTGTAATTTAGGTAGCGTGTAAACTACCCAGATAGTTTACTGTGCAATATGTTGGCGAGTAAAGTTGAAGACCGGCTAACTTTACCAGCTACTAGCTGACTTTTTTACTATCGGAATAGTAAAACAGCATCGTGTAATTATATCGGCGAGATAACTAGCTATACGTTAGAAGCAAATTATGTGAAAAATATTACATTAGTGATGACGAAGTTGTTTTGAACTGCCGTCTGTGCTGTGCTTTTAGATCTCGTGAAAGGTCAGAATGTCGCCTAAAATGTCAAAAGAAATACTTCGTGGGTGTACTTCTTGGCGTTATATTACAGGAAGAAACAAAAAAAGACAGATACCAAAAAAGAATAAGGAAATGGGTGAGAAAGTGGATTTCTCGCAGAGATAAATTAGGTGCTTCATGTGTCCTTTTAAAAGAATTATCCGAAAATGATCCAACTTCCTACAGGAATCATCTAACAATACGTACAAACAATTTTAACACTTTGTTGGAAATGGTGGAAGGTTCAAACCGAAAAACGAATACCTACTGTAATGAGAATGGCTATTTCCCCAAGAGTGAAACTTGATAAAACACTACGCTATTTAGCCACTGGCGACAGCTTTAAATCCCTCGAATATCTATTCCGAGTAACGCAATGTACAATTTCGATATTTTTAACTAACTGCAATATCGGAAGGTCTGAGATCATATACAGGGTGACTTTGAAGTTGAGTCATTAATTTTCAGATAATGATTGTAGAAGGAAGATAAACCAAAATATGTGTGTAAAAATAAAAAAAAAATAAAAAAAATTTTTTACCTTGTTTTATAAAGTATCCTCCCGACAAGTATTTCAGTGCGGACCTGTATTTGATCGTGAGGTCCCCTGTGAGGTCTTAAGTCACCTGATTCACAAGCCCGTTGTACTACATTAACAAAGGCACGAGGGGTTGGTTGCACTCGATTGGGAAACCGATCCGCATAAACATGTGCCATTTTCTATTTCGTTTGAGCCACGCAACACATACCACTATTCACTGACACTAACTGTATACAAATGAATGAGATACCTGTAAAAACATCGTTCCAAATTCTTTCGCTTTTTTGTTTCCGATGCGATGAACCGATACGGCGGATTATATCCATTGTCGCCAAACACGACCACATAATATTGTTATTGAGACAGGGCGGTACTCAAACTTCCAAAGGGCTATAACTTTGTTACTTTAATTTTACCAGGAAAATGGTAAAGGAAAAAAACATTTCTTTTGATCAGATCTACTCACTGTTAAAATAAATGACTCAACTTCGAAGTCACCCTGTATAAAGCTGAGTTAATTTATACCTACTTACAACGTAAACAATTAGCAGACGAATAAAAACAAATTTTAGATTAAATCACATTTATTCCTAACGAAATTATTATAATTAGGCATATAAATGCTATTTTCAGTATTGTTACCAAAGGTACTCTGTACATGGCTTCCTATAAAACATTAGTTAGATTATTGGTCCCGAGAGGGGGGCATTCACAAGTAGAGTTATCCGGAAGAGGTGAGGTTTGTGGAGTAGAGTAAACTGCAGAATGTACATATGTAGATGGTGAACGTAATGAAGATTGCAGGGCCCACAGTTTTGCATTTATTATCGAATTTTGTATTTGATGTAGTGTAACAGTATCTATTGCTGCCCTGCAGGTACTTCTCAAAGCTCTGCAGCTACATATTTCCCAAAAGTATCAAATGCATCTTCATTATTCACTTGTGCAACAATATCATTAAACTCTTGAAGGGCACTTGGTACACCTGATGATTTTTGTTTACCCTGTCTTCTTTCAGGAATAGGTTTGATGGCGGACGAAGGAAGAATTCTTTCCTGTGATGAATTTTACTGTTCCTCACTTGTTTCACGATCTATATTCTATTCCTCTACTTCTTCTGTAGTCGTTTCAGTTTCATCCTTTGCGAAATGTAGGTATATCTTAAAATGAATCAAACAAATATTAGATACTGAAACAAGTATTGACATTTTTTTTTCAGGTGCCATCAGCAATCGAGCCTGTCAGGATCACTTCACAGTGCTGGTTATCCTGCAAATGTAGGGGAAGGCGGGGCAAAGCCGGGTAGCTAAGGAAAACCTATTGTATCTCGTTAAATATTTTTTATTTATAACCAAAAATTCTTCAACTACAAACTTTGAAAATTAATACATAAACTTAACCTACAAAACATTAAAAAAAAACTTCTGGTAACTAAAAAATAACATTAAAAAAAATGTTGAAAAATACGGTTTTGCCCCACTATAGGGGCAAAACCGTATGCCATGTGGGGCAAAATCGGGTATACTTGAAAGTTTGATTTAAAGTGCTTTTAGACACGTGTCGCATTGGAACTCGTTCAAATCCTCACCCAACCAACCGGTACAACCTTCATGGGCCCAGTTTTCGCAAAACGTACATTTTACCCAGCCATCAGTTTTTGTGGACATGGAGTATATTTCTTCGCAATAAACGCATAGTGTAGTATCTACCTCGTTTTCTTTATTTTTTTCGTCTTCTTCTGAGCTCGTATAGTCGGCAGACTTTTTTGTTTTCTTGTTTTTTACTTGAGCTTTACCTTTAGAAACAATATTTCTCTTAACTCCTTTGGCCTTCTTACTTTTTTGCAGTAATATAGACTCTAGTTCTTTTTTGTATGGTGTCCCAGTCAAAATTGCTGTCTTACCGCGTCGCCTTTGTGTGGTCATGGCTTGCCTGTTGCTTTGAGGAAGTGGAATTATGTCCTTAGGAGACACAGCCAAATATGCAGACTTCATTGGAGGTTTCGGTTCATTTAATGATATTGGATTTTTTCTGGCGTTTTTTCCCTGGCTGATCCACTTGAAACGTTTGGATCTGGTGTTGACTCCCTAGACATGCGTTGAGAGGGACCGACTACCGGTTCTTGTTCAATAGTATTGCCTTCCTGTGGATGTGTTGTCTTCGGTCCAGTTGTCTCACAGGAAGGGCCGGCTACAGGTTCTTCTTCTTCTTGCTCTAAAACTTGCTCATCAGCGTTGTTTTCTACTGGATCTGTAGGCCTTCGCTCAGTTGTCTCGGCAGCAGCAAAATCAGCTTCGCCAAATACCTGAGGGCTTAATGGGTAAATTCCCGTTTTTGAAAACCCAGACACGGCGGTTTGAACAGTTGCAGCTCTAGCGTAAGCTTGACCAAATAATCTGCCGACTTGAAATTGGGTGACTACCCTCCCAGGGTTTGTTCTTAACCACGTTTTTACTTCCTGGCTATAGAACGTGCTTAATGGTCCCATAAAACTGACATCTAGAGGTTGCAGACGGTGTGTGCAATGAGGCGGGAAGCATAGCATAATAATACCGTGCTCCTTAGCGAGATCTATCAGTTTAAGATTCTTTGTATGTGTTACATGTCCATCTAAAAGCAACAAAACTGGGTCATTTTTTGTTGGTTTCACATGTTTTATAAAATGTTGCATCCATTCAATAAAAATATGGGTTTGCATTCATCCACTTATGTGACAGCTGTAACCAGTTTCAGCCGGTGTGCCATCGAGTAATTCTTCTTTCATTCGCATTCTTGGAAAGATCAAAAATGGAGGCACGTAATGACCAGCAGCTGACATACACAAAACAGCAGTTATAAGCTGACCTTTCAGCTGAGGTAAGGGTTCCCACCTGACGTCGTCCTTTCATCGCAATAATTTTGGACTGACTTTTAGGAACGGTAGTTAAACCCGTTTCATCAACGTTGTAAATTCGTGTTGGTCGAAAATTATAGTCATCCATTAACTTTGTTAGGAGACCAAAAAATTGTCCAACAACCACTTTGTTAAATCCCATTGCTCTCGCAGCAGACGTAGCCTCAGGAGTTCGCACTGATAAGTTTTGATGTCGCCGTAAAAATCCCTTCAGCCAATCGACCCCTGCCATTTCGTGATGAAAATTGTGCTGTATATTATTCCTCTCTGCCAACTGATATGCCAAACGTCTCAGTTCAATTCTGGTTAGTCCAAATAATCTGCTCTCCATGGTCTGTACATAATCTGCTAGCTCTGTTTCTTGTTCAGGCGAAAACACACATTTGTATCGGCCCAGTCCTGAAACCAAAAATAGTTTTTATTTACTGTCTTTAACCGAACCATACAAAAAACTTCTTTTGCTAATACAAAAATACATAGTAGGTAGGTACCTACCTTTGCTAGCAGCTTTCTCCAAGGATGCGCCCCCTCTTAACTTCTTTATACGGTCTTCTAAATAGTTCCACTTTGGACAGCCTCAATTGCTCTTAGCATGTCATTTTCCAACCAGCTTTGACGCTTTGTTTTTCGCTGGTAGCTACGCACCATTATGCAGCCTAAAACAAAAGGTTGTGCAAGGTTTTATTTCGAAAAAAAAAATATCTGGAAAATACCATAAGGGGCAAAACCGGGTAGTACCCGGTTATGCCCCTACCCGGTTTTGCCTCAAGTGTAGTTCTAAGACAAATCAGTTCAAAGATCAAAAACATAACCTATAATTCAATTATTTCATAAAAATAAATTGACTACAGATACAAGCGTTTCATGCTAAACCTAAAAAACTTTTGTCAACATAGTCCTTAGTGGACTGTAGAAACGATGAAAATATATAAAAATAAGACCACATACCTTAAAAAACACGTTTTCTAAAAAAACTCGCGAAAGCTTCGATGTTGACGCCATGCAATTATTTCACCAACTGGTGAGAGTGTCACGAGTAAGTTGGAGCGTTGGCTTGCAGGTGACGCCACCGGATATGGAAATAAGGCTACTACCCGGTTTTGCCTCGCTACCCGGTTTTGCCCCGCCTTCCCCTATGTACCTTGCAAGTATTCATCCAAACTTGATCATCGTATAATTCTTATCGAACCAACCTGTTATGGAATAGAGATCATGGAAGCTCTCAAGCAAATGCTTATAGGTTAGACCTTTTACCATAATGAAATATGCGCTCTTGATCGCAAATAGTTTATTTCATTGTGGTAGGTACTTATAGGAATGAACCTAAAAATTACCTCTTCTGTGTGGAATATCAATTAGCTACATGCCGACCTCATGATTCTTTAGGTCAAGACTTCAACAAACAAAAACGCCGAAGCACAACAAATCAGTGAACAAAAAGTTTATAATAAAAATAACACACAAAAAGTGCCTCGTTTGTGTTAGTCCGAGCTACCCACCACCTGTCAATACCGTTCCAGTGCTCTAGAGTGTCATGTACCTGAGCTACTCATTTTTGAAATCCCCTGATGCCCTCTCATGCACCAGTTTTTTTTGCATAAAGTCACATTAAACCGATACCAGACAATGGAGGATGGTAAAAAACTGATAATGTTATGACCCAGAGTCACAACATACATTTGACATGTTCCTGAATAATAAAGATCACAAGAGAGTGCAAGAATACAGGTTTACAGCGGTTTGTGTGGTTGGTTTCATCTATAACTAGATACTTAGAAAATAATTTTGATGTCTACACTAAAATATGAATTCGACACATTTATCCAGAAGCTCTTACAATAAAAATGGAGACCTTTGACGTATTGCACCATCATTCTAGAAGTATCAACTGGATAGTCTGACAGTGCTTCTGAAAATCAAAGCAAAAGGTGTGTACATTTTCATTGTTTGGCAGTGTGATAGAAATTGTCAACGTCAAAGCAAAGCATCAAAAAACAGGTTAGGCGTTCCCGTACACATTTTTTCACGAGTATCCATTATGGTAATATGGCAGCTAATTATCCAGTAATATTTCAAAATTCCCCATAGCCGCACAGTACACATAATTCTGACGGATCCGTCAATGCCAGGTAGACAGAGCCATATTTTTTTTTAGATTTTTTATACACTAAAACAAAACGCTAAAAAGTTTGACTAGATTTACACCCGATTCATTATTGCCAACGTTGAAGACTAACACAAAAATGTTACTTGCTGATCAGCTGTTCACCCAGTAGACTTCAAAGCGTGATGAATAGTTGTGAAATAGGGTATAGAGCAGTTCGGGAGCATCGCACTCCGGGTGCATACAACTCTCAATTCAAAAGCACTAGAACGAGGATGGCAACGCAAAATATAAATACATAACAGCTGATTGCTTGACATTAATACCGTATGTGGGTCACGAAGCTGTCGAAGGTCATCGACCTCGAACGCGTAAACCATATTTCACGAGTATCCATCACGCTTTGACGTCTACTGAGGTGAACAGCTGATCAGCATGTGACATTTTTGTGTTAGTCTGCAACGTTGGCAATAATGAATCGGATATAAATCTAGTAAAACTTGTTTGTGGCGTTTTGTTTTTTGTATGCAAATGAACTTTTCTAAATAAAAAGAGCTGTTAGCAAGTACAAAATGAATCTGTAGCTTACAAAAGACCAAAACAAAATACGACTCTGTCTACCTGGCGATGACGGATCCGTCAGAATTCTGTGTCCTGTGCCGATATGGGGAATTTTGAAGTATTACTAGATAACCAGCTGTCATTCTACCGTAATAGAAACCCTTGAAATAGGGTATAATGACGTTTGCAAAATGTTTAAGTTGATTCCAATAATCATTATGAAAATGATATACCTATAATTGGTATAAAAGTGATGAAAATTTATAAAAATGCGAATTTGCTGAAGACGAAAACACCACAAGTCTTGTTTTGCTTGTACTTGCACATACAAAGTACTGCATTCATTGTCTCTGCATGATACAATCAGAAACTGGAAAATTGAAGAAGATAAGCTATGCAGAAGGATTTTTTGGCATTTACTGACTGGGGTCAATCGATCAACCTCACTGAATCCTACTACCAGTATTATACTATTAGACAAAGATATGGTGACCTGAAATATAAATCTCATACTAGGAAGCATATGTCTGTGCTTGAAACAGCTCAAAAGAAAGTTTCGACTTAATATCAGATATGTATATCGACATTTTGGTTAGGAGGTACTAGAATTTATTGTAATATCACATTGTAATGAAACTCACACTGTTATGATCTTATATGACAATATTTATGTTAGGTGCTATAGTTCTACTCACCGTTCTTGGCGGGTCAAAGAAAGACTACAAGTATCTCTTTATATATCTCCACATACACATGCAACCTACCCCTGTGCGTGTGAACGCTTGTTCGGTAAGCTCTAAGCTCAAAGACATACGTTTTTTAGTTGTATGTCTCCGTCTGGAAAACTTTGTCGTTACGTATGAGTGCCCTTCAATCATATTTGTCAGAGTGACAGGTTACCTGACATCGGCATGCAATTCGAGTTGTCCTGTTATCAATCTTCAATATAAAATTGTACAATGCCTGGAAATACGATCAATTGAGAAGGCTGACAACTCGTGCTAAATTTATTAGAGTATTTCCAGGAAGAGAATGAAAACAGCGGCCTCCTGTTACCCACTTAGTACTGGAGAGAGTAGCAGATGCGCTGAAGATTAGTTTGCGCAGTGTTCGGTCCATGCTACGGAGACTTGATCTGTTTAATTATTTCATATGGCGTTGATGACGTAACCGCCAACTTTACCTAGTTTAACTATGAAATTTTAGGGGACTCAATCTTATGTATAGTCAACGCCAAACAAAGTGGCGTGCACGTCATCAAGGTGGGTGTGTTGAAAAATTTACATTGTTGCCAAACTTTTTGTAAAATAATAAAATTTATTATTTACATATCTAGGTTTATAAGCAATATTAACCTCAAATGAGAACAAAAATAATAGTATAATAAAATTATAGATCTGTACTTGCATAATCATTAAGTATGACAATTATTGATCAGATGACACTATGAAACTACCATATTTAATTGATAGCTTAAAGGTACTGAATAAAAATCCAAATGGGGTCCTCCAAATTTTATGCATGGTATTTATTTTACAGAATTCATACAGAAAAATGCATTCTAAAATTAGGTAAGCTACTGGTGTAAGCTTTTTCTGTACAATAAAGTTAGTCGGAGTTTCTTTCTTCAGCGCTGTCTGAATCTGAATCTTCATAACTCTCAAAGTTGATTATTAAAGGTTCGATGTCTGGTCGATCAAAAATTCGTTCTCTTTCATACCATTTAAAAATATCTTGCTCAGTATGTCGAACACTATTTTTCCACATGTCTGGGGTAACCGTTTGTAGAGCCTCGTTTCACATATCCAAACAGTCTTTTTCACTGTTACCATCTCTACCAATATGTCTGGGCACTTTGTTCAATATCATGCTGTGATAAGGGGCGTTATCCAGTATAACCATAGATGGACTCTCCAATTTTTCTAATAACTGATGTTGAAACCATTTCAAAAAATTGTCCTGGTTCATCTCTCCATGGTAATCGCTCAATTTTGTTTTCGAAGAAAATATCGCTTCACTACCCTCAATAAACCCATTTTCATTTCCAGCATGTAATATAATGTATCTAAAATATATTAGTTTTAAATTTTATAGTGCAAATTGTGTAAAAGTACATACCTTTTACCATCTGTTTTAATAGCTTTCACGCTTTTTTGGTTTCCATTTTGCCAAGAGCGACCTATGGTCCCATTTTGAAATATCCAAGTTTCATCGAGGAAGACAAACTGGTATAAGACCTCAACCTTGGCTTGATTGTATTGCCTTAGAAATTCCACCCTTTTCAAAGCTATACTTGGTAGTTCCATGAGCCCTCGTCGCGGATTGTCCTTAAGCCACTTAAATCCAAGATCTCTAAGCAACCGCCTTACAGACGTGGCACTACCATCAAATAATGCCATATCTCTTAATCGAGACCATAAAGTTTGTATCGTAACTTGTTCTTCTGAAACCATGTGTAATATGACATTATAATTTAGTTAACAAATTAATGCAAATTTCTGATAAGTTATTATAATAAGATCTTACTTTTGTGATACATATTATAGATCACTTCTCGAATGGCACTTGTATCCAATGTCGCTGTGTTGGTTACACGTTTAACTCCGCTTTTTCTTGGGCGATTCTAAATTTGCATCACTTTTCACACCCTCGGAAATACGACTAACTGTCCTTAAACTAATTTTTAAAGCAGCAGCAACACGCTACAAAAAATGAAATAAAATTTCACTATTATTAATATACATTACATATAATTATTAGTAACCTACCTCTTGAACAGCATTTAAAGGCACCAAAGGCCCGTTGTTGTCCCTTTCTTGCTCAAAGTAGTGCATTAACGAGGCCACGAGTTCCTTACACCGACTATTTAACTGTTTGGGCATCTTTATATACCAAAATTGCCTTTATCTACTCGTAAAATGAATAATTTTGTTTTGAAACAAACAGTTGTTGATTTACAGTATGCGGGGCCAAAGGATTTATAAAGATTTGAAATGCCACAAATTGATTCAGTGTCAAAATTAATACAAATGTCAGTTCCCAGTTTAAATAAGTTTCAAGGTGACAATGTGTCAACGCTGCGAAATCGGTTTAGTGCGTTTACATGTCGATAAGTGATTGGAGCGTTTGCAAAACATTTTATTTCGCATAATGCGTCTAAATTTATCAGAAAGCAACTTATGTGATATTTTAATAACAATGTTTATATGACTATTAACCATAATAAGAGAGTAATGACCATTTTACAATTTATATATCACATTAATATGAAACTGCAATAGAGCAATTGTTTGTGATAGAAACCTAGGCATTAGGTCGGGGAATTTTTATCGTGATGACGTGCACGCCACTTTGTTTGGCGTTGACATCGACTTGCCTATTTTTCTAATAGGTATATTACACATACTGTTATAACTTGATTGATAAATTGTAGTTTACAAAATGTCTTGAAAATGATTGTTAGGTAGGTATTATAAAATTATGTTTCTATAATAAATTTGTACAAAAATATATTTATTTCAGTGGTTTTACCATATTCATCTTCAAAAAGTTAAGTTTTTTATTAAATGAACTATTTTTATTATTATGCATAGTATTTTACTGTAATCTAAATGTCAGTCCTATGCTATTCTTGATATTAGGTACTCCAAAATACCTAGACACACACTAGTTATACACATGGAAATCTGCAATATAAATAATTATTTTATGTTTATGCGCAAATTGTGGACACGATATATAAACGCGTAAAAATTTGATAACATTCAGTAAAAGTAAAAATTTGCATAAAACATAAACACTACCAGTCTTATTTTTTTGTTTGCTCTTGCACGTATAATGTGATTATTTATCAGAATCACCTTTAGCTTTTGGCAAATACTGCAACGCTCTCATTTCATATATCTCCATTGGTATTCCTCAATGTTTGATTCAAAACTTTTTTAATAACATTCTAGCAAAATAGCAGAGGTAGGAAAATCGTGCGATGAGTTGGCAACGCCACAATTCAGGTGACAAGAATGACAAGTTTAACTGTCAAAGTGTATGTCTATCCCGGGGTACCAACGAAGTCATTTGGAACGTTAAAGGGGCAATTATCCAATTTTCATTCGCATTTCTTTAAGTGTTGTCTAGTAGAGCATATTTCAATAGTAGTCTTGCGTGGCCATGTTATCTTTACTCGAGCCTACATCCGATTGACGTAATCATAGAAACAACATTTCTAAAATGATATGTGTTTTTATGCTTTGTAAAGCCTATAGCCAACGCTTTAGCAAAAGAAAAAGAGAGTACTTTTGTACAGTAACGTTGTACAGCTTCAAGGCTACGCGGTTTCTCTTTGAAATTACTCTACCAGTTACCAGTACAACATTTTTAAATAAGAGACTGACTACACATTTTGTTAAATTTTATTCTATAGACTGTGGTTGCATAAGGAAATTATTCAAGTGTGCTTACTATCTATACAATAAATGGTTCATAAGTGTGTAATTTCTTCTGTGATAGGTACCACTTTAATTATTTTTGATCTTCGTTCGGAATTTTTCGCTCTGAACACTCCTTCTATAATAATATAAGCAATTTCATACACCGTGATGAAACTGATACCCAGAAATAAGTTGAAAGTGCCTCCAAGTGAAACTAAAAATAATGGTTGATATGACGGATCAGAATAACGATGATAGATCGACAAAAATGATAGGTGATAAATGACATTAGAAAGTTTTTAAAAATCTTGGGTATTTTATCAAAATTTGTTTAAAACGTGTAACGAAAAAAATATATTATGAAATGGCACCCGTTGAAAAAGAAACATATATACGAACCAACTAAATCTCCGAAGCCAAATAAAATATCTCTTCTGTACCTTGTTGTGGGATGTATCAAACCCCATCTGAAGGTAATCCTTTGATCCAGGAAACCACCCTTGTTCCTTGAAATTGAAATATACAATATACCAGCTATCTCAGAATAACATCATCAATCAAGACAAGACCCTAAAAAGTGTCCTAAAAAGAGTCCCGGAAATAAGTTTTGAACAATACAACAAAATTTTGATAGCAACCATCTATTGGAACCTCACTTAACCCCTTACTGGATAATTTGGCACACGTGAAATATATTTTATTTTCCAAGTCCCCCAATAGTTTAAGGTTTGAGGCCTTGACTTAAATTGTTCAATATCTGGCACGCTCGCTTATTTATCTCCAAGAAACATTGTCGCCCTCTAGCACATATTTTACGAATTGCGTCAGATTTCGTTTAGCGGCCCATATGCACGCGTTACTACGTTTGTTTATAAGGTTGTTGTGGTCATAAAATATTCAAAAATCAAATTTTTGGTGCAACTAAAATTATATTCGTTCTGGTATTTCTAATTGTGACCTTTGTAAAATGATGTCCTTTATTATACCTACAGCAAAGGTTGAATGGGGAAATCTTTAGAAACTTAGTGCACTCGATAGCCGGCTTCAGATTTACGATCGGTCAATTAGTTTTGGAAATATCGGGCGAAAAACCGAAAATGTCAAATTTTGTTTCTTGCTAGTAAATCCCAAACAGTTCATTTGCCAGCTGTCAAAATGGACGTTATTCGGACATATTTTTAAGGCAAATAAGAAATGTGCCAATCGTCTTTTAGTTTCCGCGACCTACCTCAACTTTCATTTTTCTCAAAGCCGCCATATTGGTTTCTCGATTTTTGTAAAGTGCGTAAAATTTCCAGCCTAGTGATGTCTCACAAGTGCATAAAAGATTGGAGTATCCTCGAAATATCATTACACGTAATGTTATGTATTAATTTTTTTCTAAGGAGGCCATGATTTATGTCAGAAAATAAAATTAATAAACAACGCATTTTTGTCGTCTAAGGAGGCTCTGACTTTGACGTTAAATAATTCAAAGTATTAAAATTGTGTTTTAATAAGTAGTAGGTACGTTTTCTGTCATTAAAATCATAAATCTGACAAAAAAATTGTCAAAACCTGTTGAAAATGGTCGGTATTCCCTACCCAAATGAAGAAAAGTTTGACATGTTAGCGCTGTACTTGCAGTCACAAAGAAACGCTGACATTACGTCAGCAAGATACTTGGAGATGTACCCCGAACGTCGGCAGCCTCGTAAAACAAAAACCTGTCAACGAAATCCCTAGTAGTGGTCGAGAACTATCGATAGTCTCCACCATCGATAATTATCGATTGTCGGTCCTGTGACCATCGATTATTATCGATAGTATTCGATAGTCATAATAATTGGTAACTAAGCGGTTTTTAAGTTATTCTTGAAATAAATTCTGTTTTGTAGATCATGGACGTAAAAAAACTATCCCAAACTCTTAATATTTTTATTCTTGAACTGGTCACTGCTAGCTAATGGTTCCTAATGTTTTTGAGAGAACCTTAAAAAAATGTTTTTTTTGTGTAAATGTTGAATATTTAACCTGAAACTTACTTTTTTTTTGATTTGGTGCTTTTTTGCAATCTCCTCTTTGAAGAAATTTATCCATTTCCGGACACAGAATTTCTCACTGAATAATCGTCTTGAAATCGGGACGGAAACGGAAAATACAATCACATACGTTTTTTAATTCGATATCTTTATGTCTATTATTGTTGATTGTTTTATCAAATGTGAATTGAATATGAATTTATTATGAATATCAAATTGCAGAAAATCCGTTGACTGTTGGGCGTTTTCTTGAAGTTGACGTTAAAGTCTTGACAGTTGACGTTGACAGTAACTATCGAAAACTATCGATAGTATGAAATGAAATATCGATTATATTCGATGGTATAAACTATCGATAAATATCGATAGGCTATCGATAGTTCTCGACCACTAATCCCTAGTCCATCAGCAAGAAAGTATAGAACGAGAAATTGGTGTGTCAAAATCAACAGTACAGAGAGTGTTAAATAAGAATAAGTACCATCCATACAAACCTATAATAGTTCAAGGACATCAGAAAACTGATTTTCTAAGGCGAATGCGCTTCTGTGTATACTAGGTCCAATGTCCAATGAAAATCCCGATTTTGTAAATTATGTCTTGTGGTCCGATGAGAGCAAGTTTACGAATTGTGGAGATTTTAATAATCACAACACTCATCATTGGGATGTGGACAAGCCCTCACGAAGTGGCAGAGAGACGTGTACAGACCAGATTTGGAACTACCGTTTGGTGTTGGATCATTGGTAATTTAAACTAACTTACCTTTTTTACTTGGGCACCTATTTGAAATTTGGTATTAATCATTTCAGGAAAGCGACTTATAGCACCATTTTTGTTTGACTAAAACCTAAACGGACAGAAGTACCAGAGCTTTCGCGAAACCAGGTTGCTGGTGCCGGCGTTACGAGCTAGTTTAACCGAAGATGAGCTTAGAAGAACCTGGTTCCAACAGGATGGATGTCCGGCTCACAACACCATTCAAGTCAGGAGCTTCTTAAGAGAGCAGTTTGATGAAAGAATAATTTCTTGGCCTCGTAGATCCCCTGACCTTGCACCCCTGGATTTCTACCTCTGGGGTCAGACATAGAGTGAGGTCTATGAATTAGATCCTCCCGCGACTATAGAAATCCTGAGACAAAGAATTTTACTTTTTTAGTTTTTAGTACACTTGCTAATGTTGTACGAAAAACAGTCACCAATTGTCAAAAATGTCACTATGCAAATGGACGTTATTTTGCAAATCCGTAAATTAATACGCACTTACATAATCAGATATTGTATTACAATCTTGTAAAATGTCTGTATGTTCAAGTGTAAAATAAATTTACGACGATTTTTCTGACTTGATTTTTTAACATACTCAAAGTTGGGAATTTGTCCCAAAACATTCGACTTGTTGAGAGGTCGATATTAACGTTAATATTTTATCGAAAATTAAAGGCGTTTATGTGTTTTTTATGCCTTACTCATTTATGTTATTCTCTGACAAATCATGGCCTCCTTAGAAAAAACTAATACATAACATTACAAGTGATGATATTTCGGTGATACTCCAATCTTTTATGCACTTGTCAGACTGGAAATTTTACACTCCTTTTAAGAACATTTGCCGTGATCCCTGTATAGAGAAGCGAATGTGGGACACAGTGTAAGTGGCTTATTTTTTCAGATGAATCCCAGATGATTTTATGGTACTAAAACTGTTGAGATTCCGAACTTGTGTGAAGTGGCAGTGAAGATGAAAATTTGTCAGATGATGATTATCACCGAAAAAGAAAAACATTTTCTCAAGTTCTGGTGGAAGATATACCAGCGAAGAGGAACAGCTTGATAGAGAGCCGCAACTGGATTTTAGAAAAAGGGTATAATTATCCTTTCGCGGAAATACCAGCCCAAGCAATTCGTCGCGACAATGTGGGACATCTTTCTGAATGGTATGAAGATCACCAGAGATGCAAATTTCCTGAGTGTACAGAAAAATACAAGTTTCGTGTGATAAATGTAATGTTAGATTATGTTTAAACAAAGACCGAAATTGCTTTCTCCGTTTTCATTGGAGTAGCAAAATTGCATTTAGTTTAGGTATTTTCCATGAGTTTTTAACGATTTATAATAAATATGGCTTCAGTTATTTTTTTCATTTTCATTCAACTATTGCAATTTGTGCCAAATCTGGCTCATGTCGAAAAGGACATGTTTTCAAACAAGGCATTGATAACTTTTTTACATACTTTTTCTAGTTACTTTTGAAATATGAACTGTCATATATATTTTTTCAACAAAAACAAAAAAAATCATGCAGTAAGGGGTTAATTGTGATCATGGATATCAATTAAGCCATTTAGAACGCTAGGTACGGACTAGCCCTAATGTAATATTAGCGACATTCATAACTCCATACATCCATAAATAATATTTTGAACGGCCTAATACGGCAGCTAAAAAACTGCAATCTTGTTTGATTTAGATAAAATGGGCCGTTCTTGAGAACCGTTCCTAACTTTTAAGAACGGTCAATTTTGTCGATGCCAATCATCAGATCAGCTTAATGGTCATGCTTCATAAAAGAGTTTGTTGAACCATAATGATACAGAGTGTTAACAATTTTAGCAGTATTGTGTCGGATGTATACCCGATTTCACGAGTATCCATCACGGTACGTCGCAATCTCTTACGAAATAAGTAAACATATTGACTAATGGGATCATATGCTTAACTTTCTTAAAGGAAATTTTACACTACGCAAGCCGATCCGTAACACAGCTGTTACTCTCTTTTGCACACACACATGCATTGGGTCATAGGAGAAGGTAGTTTTCATTCACTTGCTGAAAATGCTTCTAATACAAACGGTCGAATTTGTAGTTGCATCTGTAGAGGCACGTTTTATGTCAAAGATCAACAGGGGTAAACATGAATCGCACAAAACTAAAACACAGTTAACACAAAGGTCCGCGCAAAGAGGCTGATTGCTTATGTAAGTATGAGAGAGATGGGTGAGTGAAAGTAATTCCTGTGACCCGCCAAAAACCGGTTACGTCACATTGTCATACGAAATAATTAAACAGATTGACTAACTGTACCATGTGCCGAGATAACTTGCCTAAGGAAATTGCACACTGGGCAAGTGGATCCTTAAGGCCGCTGCAACTAGCTCTTCCACACATTCATACTCATTAGATGATAGAAGACCGTTGCTTTCACTCACTTTCCAAAAAAAATTAAACACAGACTCTCGACATCGTAATTGCATCTTCAGGCATTGCTATATTTTATATCGAAGATGAAGAAGTAAAATGAAATCGGACGTTCATGCCAAGAAAGTTGTCATACTGACAGTGACAAGCATATATGTTTGTGGAAGATCAGAAAATTTTGAAGACGGTGAGACAAAACTAAAAAACGTGTGACTGTGAGCCTTCATACACAAACGTACGTGTATAGAGGTTGATTTCATATACATGTAAGTATGATGCAGATGGAATGTATGGAAGTTATTCCTGTAGTTTTACTGTGACCTGTCAAATATCGTGAAAATGCCTATACTTATGATGTCGTTATGTCCAGATCATAGTAATACATTATCAAATAAATACTTGCCACCTTGTAAACTTAGGAATTTGAGGCAAATAGGAAATTAGGTTGCAGGGCTGTGCACATTTGCAGCCAACTCTCAAGGGCGATTGGGTTATGATATCCGCATGTCCGGACAAGCACAACAAGCCTCTGATGTCACAGGTCTTTCCATCTAAAATTAAGATTTATATTTTCAAAGTATGTTTATATTAGTTATTAAACAGGTAAGGTACTTAAAAAACTGGAATGCTGATCAATAATTAAAAGAGTTTTACTTTTGAACAGAACGCAAGTGCAAAAAAAGCAATCTCAACAGTAACTGTATGTGCTTTTCAACCCCGAATAGGTCAAGTTAGCAAGTTGAACCTCGGGGTGATGATTTAGGTTAGGTAATGATAAGAGTCAAATATATCAAAATGACGGCTGGACGCTATCTTTGAATATTTTTTAAGTGGAATGGAGAATCATGTGGTACTTCTTTTTTGAGCTACTTACTAATAATCCTGGAATATAAATTTACTATGTTTCAAAATGGCGGACGGGTTGGCTACATAAGATATTTAGTACGTTTAATAAAACGTTATAACGTCAATCTTCTTCTTTTAGGACGGTTTATTTGAATGTGTAATAACACATGGGATATTTAGTTTTAAAAAAGTGGAAACGCCCTGTTTATAAGAAGGAGACTGATATAACATACTATATACACGGCGTATCAATTATTGGTTTGTAAGCGGTTCAATGTACACAACTGCTCGTCATTAACAGGCTACCAGTTCGTTATTTTGAAAGATGGTGGATTTATGTTCCACGGTAGCATTGAATATTTTTAAAAAATGTTTGTTAAATATTTTTAGCGACAGATTTTTTAATATTTAATAAATATATTTTTTATACATTTATAAAATATTCATTATAGATATTTGTAGTATATATAATTCATATATTTTTGCGATATTTTTTCCAAATATTTAGAAAATATATGAGGAAAGATTTTTAAATATCAATTTCATATTGTGATGCAATATCTAATATTTTTCGTAAATATGTATGGATTTTCAAGCATTAATCTGATATATATTTTCATTGTCTATAGAAAATTTTTTATTGGTTATTTTAGCGAAACCTGTAGGAATGCTTATGTAAAATTGGGTTTATAAAGAAAATTCATTCTAGAGATAATGGTTTAATTTGCTAGAAAAATATTATTAAAACAACATTCTAAGCCTCTTCCGCATCTTGCAAGTCCACTCCTCTGAAAAAAACAAAACAAACTAATCATGAAGTATTATTGAATACATAAGCTGCTTTCCAGAGTATTTATGGGAATATAAAATGCAGTGGAACAATATTGGTGCTGAGCATGGTGAGTTACTCCGAGTAGCTCAACTGGGTCACTGAAAAACCGCTCTATAATGCAACTAAAAGCACCCCACATTTTCTGTTTATGATAGTTCGAGATTTGGTTAATTTTTAAGAAAAAATGTTATATTACTTTAGATATCTTGATGAAAAATGTCCTTGGGCACAACTTGATCCTTTGACTAACTTTTAAAGAAAAGGTTTTTGAAAATAGACCACTGATTTTGTTGAAATTTGATTTTTTTAGTAAGGGAGCTAACTTAGCCATAACTATTTTGTGATTTTATATTATAATTCAAGGGATAAAAGTATAGTATTTTCGACTGTTAAAATTTTTGAACGTACTACGACAGAAATATAATAATAATAATTGAAATATTTAAAAAAATAATTTTTTATGTATCTCGATCAAGTTGCGATTATATGTCTTTTCATTGGGATGTTATGAAAATAATTTTCGTATCCATTCTCAGATAAATCCATCAATACCAAATAACTGTTACATTTCAAGGCTAGTTATTTATGGTCTTGTGAATACCATTATACTCTGCAGGCACAATAATCTTCACTAGTCAGTTAAATTATGCTATGTAATTATCGAAAAACTTACCCTTTTCCCTTTTGCACAAAAAAAAAACACTCAAATAATGAACCACTTGGAGGTACACAGAAAGCGCGCTATCATTTTTTTTTTTTTTTTTTTAATGAGGGGGGAATGCATTTACGCACCATACCATAGCCCGAGCTACGGCGTGTGTGGGACTCCAGGGTCTTGAGGAGATCACCTAATACCCACTAAACCCTAAACCTCCGCGTGGCCTGACTCATCAGCGTCTCGGTAGGCCATGTGTTGTGCGTGACCTGCGGTCTGCTACAACGTCTCCTCATGTGTTTCAGTCTCTGGGAACGCCGGGTTGGTTCCCTTTACCTCGCACATTCTATCGATGTCGTTAAGCGATCATCGATAGAGGGTCTGCTGGTTCTCTTGAATCTCTTGTTTTCGAAAAATCAAGAGTTTCAAGTCCTCTTATCAATATGTTGTTCCTGGTCCTGGTCCTGAAGGGTCCTGGTCCTGGTGGGTCCTGGTCGTGGCGGATCCTGGTCCTGGTTGGTCCTGGTCCCGGTGGGTCCTGGTCCCGGTGGTTCCTGGTCCTCTGCATCCACGCCGTGGGGTGGGGGGGGAGCAGCCGCAAGTTCTCCTAGTCTCCTAGTCAAGGTTCCAGTTAGCAGGTGCCATCTGAGACCTTGGTCTGGGGTACCTGGTTCTGCGGTTGCGAGGCCTCTCGTCCGGATCGTAGTCCATGAGGAATCGTAGCTGCTCGTTCGGGTGGTCCTGAGCTTTCTCGAAGGTCTTCTCCGCTTTTTTCCTCATGTACTCGTGGATGGTATCCCAATGCAGGTCTCTACGCAAGGTTGAGTTCCTTACGTAGGATGGTGCATTGGTGGCGATCCGGAGTAGCTTCATCTCTAGAGCAGCAAGTCGCTTGCGGTAGCTGGGGGCAGCGTACCCCCAGACCGCGGAGGCGTAAGCGAGCTGAGGTTTGGCGATGGCCTTGATCAGCCGTAGCTTGGTCGCTAGCGGCATCTGGCTGTCTACCCAGTAATGGACAGAGCTGAGCCATGGCTGCTCTGGTCTTTGCGATGACAGCTTCTATGTGCGCTTTCCAGGTGAGGGACTTGTCAAATACGATCCCCAGATATTTGACATTGTCGCTCCACTGGATATCTTCGTCGAAGATGGATGCTTCGAGAGGTCTTGCAATCCTTCTTCGTTGAATGAAGATTGCCTGCGTCTTCTGGACGTTGAAGCGGATTTTCCATTTCACGCACCAGTCCTGAATGTGGTCCAGTTCATCCTGTAGTCTCCTACGGATGATCTCGGGTCGTCTATGCTTGGCGGCTATAGCAGTGTCGTCTGCATATAGGGCCAGCATTGTGTCAGCTGTCTTCGGCACATCGTAAGTATAGATGTTGTAGAGCAGGGGGGCTAAGGCTGACCCCTGGGGCACGCCTGCTTCCAGCTGTCGTCTTGTTGAATGGCATGTACCAATCTTCACCGTGAACCATCTTTGTGTTAGATAGCTCTGGATCAGTTGGCACATGTTCGCATCGATTCCGGCGGCTTCCATTTTGGCGATGAGTCCATCGTGCCAAACTCGGTCGAAGGCTCGTTCCACGTCCAGCAGGACGAGACCGGTTGCCTCCTGGAGATTGAAGCCGCTGGTGATGTTTTCTGTCAGTCGTAGCGCTTGGAGTTCCGTGTTGTGCGAGGATCTGAAGCCGAATTGCTCTGGGGGGAGAAGTTGCAGTTCTTCTGCCTGCTTCTCTAGTCGAACGGCGATAGCCTTTTCGACTACTTTGCCCATCGAGGAAACTAGGCTGATGGGCCGGTAGTTCTGGGGCAACTTCCGGTCCTTGCCTGGCTTGGTGAGCATTATAACCTGGGCTTCCCGCCACCGCCGCGGGAAGTGGTTAAGTCTCAGGGTGGCATTGGCGATGTTGGTGAGCGCAGCAATGCCCTTGGTGGGAAGGTTCTTCAGCATCCTGTTGTTGATGCCGTCCCTTCCCGGCGCCTTTCTGACCTTCAACCTGCGGATGCTCAGACGGATTTCCTCTGGACTGGAGGGGTGATCCGTCTCCTGGCCAGGTGGTCGACTCCTCATGTTTTCGGCTGCGACTTCCACGGCCTCCTCGTGGTGGTCGTCCTCGTCTTCATGGTAATTGAGTCTGCATTCGGATTCTAGCGAATCGGCGAATGCTTCGGCTTTTTCTTCACTGGAGTAGGCCAAGCCGCGTTGGCCGTGAAGAGTGGGGATCGTGGTGCGCTGACGACGAAATTTTCGCTGCATAGACCAGGCCGTACCATCCTGGGTCTCTAGTTCTGCACAGGCTGCATTCCATCTGCTGTTTTGGAGTTCCGCGAGTGCGTTCTTCAGAGCTAACGATGCTCTGTTTCGCGCAACTCTCGACTCCTCTGTCAACAGTTGGAGATGTTCTCGCTTGAGTCTTCTGTTCTCCCTGATCAGGTGCCTAATATGGTGCGGTGCTGGACCATTTAGCTGTCTAGGAACTGCCGTAGTCTCGGAGCGGGTGCTGTCCTCGTGCGCTCGCAGGACAGCATTCTCCAGCTCCTCTACTGCGTTGTCCAGTTCCTCCGCTGATCGGATGGTTGGAATTTGAGTGATGTTCCTTTGGACGTTGGATTTGTACAGGTTCCAGTTCGTCCGTTTGGTGCTCAAGCTATCTCGAGTTCTAGACCCTGTGCCAAGTGTTAGTAGAATCGGATTGTGGTCCGACGATCCTTCCACCAGGGTCTCTATCTCGAACTCCTCTCTGATGTTGCGGAGGATGGCTATGTCCAGTACAGCAGGTCGCCCAAGGCCGAATGGAATGTAGGTTGGTTGCTCCGGACCGACGATGACCCCCGCCAGGGCATCGACGTGTTCCTGGAGCTGCCTTGCATTCCTGTCTTCGACGTTGTTGTTCCATGCCGGAGACTTGCAGTTTAGATCTCCGATGACTATGCGTGCTCCTGGGCCTCTCAGGAGGTCAGCGATATCATCTTCGTCTAGGGCCTCCCCTGGTGGCACATATAGGGAGGTGATTCTGTAGGGACGGAGGTTGTGATGGACCTGGACCGTGATTCCGTCCCCATTTATGTCTGCGGCATCGTCGAGGACATGACTCGTCAAGGTACGTTTGACGAGTAATGCGACTCCTCCACCTCTGCCCCTTCTGTCGTAGCGGTACGTCTCGTACCGCGGGAACGTCAGACTATGGGCAGCATCCAATTTCGTTTCTTGGATGGCCATCACCTCTGGTTGGTACTGGTCTAGTATCTCCTGGATTTCTGGTTTCCGTGCCCTGAATCCGTTGATGTTCCAGGAGATAATGCGTAGAGATTCTACGTTTTGCCCTGTAGTCATTTCGGGTCTACTGCTTGTCTTGCATCTTGGCCTCGAGTGCATCCAGGCGGGTTATGATGGCTTGCATCATTGCCAGCAGTCTGTCATCGCCGTGTTGTTTCTGCGCAGTAGTTCCAGTAGCAGTGGCGGCTGCTGGGGCAGAAGTGGACATGGGTTTCTTCGCTTTTTGAGCGTAAGAAGTCCTATTTGTGGTGGGAACCGCTTTGGGGGCAGAAGCAGCTTTCTTCGGGGCCTTACTACATCCCTTGTAGTTGGCGGGGTGGCCTTCTCCACAGAGGCAACACTTGGCGTTTCGTTGCCCTGTTGGCGGCGCTGACAGACTGCAGCTGGTGCTGTTGTGGTCCTCTCCACACTTAACGCACCGTTCAGCGAGACGGCAGTTCCGCTGTGTGTGTCCGTACCGCTGCCAGCGGTAACATTGGCTGGGCTCGGAAGACTTTTTCTTCCTCTCGAAGCTGACCGTGAGCATGGCCAGCCTCTTGATCTCTGCAAGCTTTTCCGGCATCTTCGTCTTGACGAGGAAGAGCGGAAGTGGCTTCTTGGTGGTCCTTGAGGTCATCTGCTGAACCTCGGCGTCTGCGATGCCTTGGCTCACTAGATCCTCTTTGATGTCATTGACTGACATCTCCCTGGGTAGCCCACGGATGACCCTCTGGTCCATCCTGTCCTCCTTCAGTTGATAGGTGAAGAAGGGCCGCTTGATGGATTCCAGCAGTGCGACTAGCTGACGGTAGTCAGCTGGTGTATTTGTGAATACCTTCACACTGTTACCCACCGTCCTCGCCTTGGAGAATTGAATCCCCTTGCTGTTGATCATCCTGCTTAAGGATGACCAATCAGCGGTGCCCTCGATATTGATTGGCGGAACTCCTGTTCCTCCCATGGGGGCCTCGGTGGTCCTGGTTGCTCTAGGACCTCTCTTCTTGGTGGCAGCTGGCATCTTTGGCTGCCTGGGTTCTTCTTCTTCGGAGGAGGAGGAAACTCTCACTCGTTTTCTCCTCCTGGTGACGACACTGAAGTCTGCGTCATCGGTCCTCTTCTCGTCTTCTTCTTCGTCGATATCCTGGGCATCCATGTCCCTGTTCTCCGTAGGCTGCTGGTCCTCGTCTCCCTGGTCCTCACCTTCTTCTTCTTCCTCCGTCTTCTTTGCCTTCCTCTTCGCTTTGAGGAGCTTCCTTTTCACTTCATCGATCTCGTTCCTCGACTGATCGAATGCTTCTTGCAGATTTTTCATCTGCTCAGCAAGCATTGCGAAGTTCTCCTCCTTCTGCTTCAGCTGGCTCGCCAGCTTTTCTATTCTCGCCATCGTGGATGGCGATCGTACCGTGATGAAAATCACAGTAGGATCGCACTGTAAGTCCGGGTTGGTCGCAGTCGCACAAGTGTATACTCGCGACGGCTGCTAGCTCGGAACTGGGAATGGCGCTATCATAGTGAAAGTCTCAGGTAAAATGGATGCCGGCTTGCCGGCAAACAGGTCCCCTCAGGCCTGCTTGCTATTATCCTATTGGTCGCACGAGGTTACACGTACATGCGCCGTAGCCGAAAATATTTAATGAATATTTTCTAAATATTGGAGATTTAATATTTTCCATTGATTGAAAAGTAAATATTTAATGAATATTTTAAAAGAAATATTGTATTTAAAATATTTGAAAGACATTGAATAAATATTTAATAAAAATATTATATTAGATACAAATATTTATTACATATTTGTTTAACACGTTGACTGCCTTACATGCCCCCGGCGATATGTGAGAATTTTTCCTAGGAGACGGGAGTGACTTAAATCAAAATACGATGCAAGCGCGTTAGTCGCGAAAACGTTATTTTTCTAATGATTTCAATGTTATAGATAGCTTTCTGATCCTTATGATACCTAGTTTCATATAAAGCGTAAATTTTCTTACATATTCCGGGAGATATGTTTCGCACACAATTAATACGAGATTAACTTGTGTGCGAAACATATTCCGGGGTCCTGTATTAACGAGTTTTGACTTGCATACTTCTTGAACGTGTATTTCGTAAATAAGCATATTTAGTTGACCGTAAGCAACCGACAATGATGTCGCGCTCAGAAAAACTGCTTGAATTAGCGAAACGAAAATTTAAAGAAAGTAATGCTTTGGAATTAGAGAGTTCCCGGGACTCTACGTTTTTAACTAATAATGACTTTTCCGCTCAAAATGATTATAGTTCTCCTGCTCCCTCAGGTGTTACGCGGACTGTGAAACAAATGACTGACGGCGGTAGTGATTCTGACTTAGAATGGGAAGACTTTGATAGTGATGACTCTGTGAAAGACAAAACTTATCAATGTGATTCGAATGATGGAGTAGTGGTGAAAGTAGTGATGAAAATGAATTTTCTTCGAACGGTCTAGATAGCGAAGCCAATAACGATGTTCCAAGTAGGCCTTCAAGCAGGGCAGACTATCTCAATAATGAACAAGATAATGATAGTGACAGTGATCTGAGGGATGTATGGGAAGATATAAAAACTTCATCTATAAATTTTGATCTTCACAATGAACAATGCACACTTGACCCAGATATTAACCAACAAACAATTAATAGGCCCATTGACATTTTTGAGCGATTCATAACAGACGAAATCATTGAAGTGCTCTAGTACTGGAAACAAATCGTTGTGGAAGTCAACAAGTAACCAACCGTCACTCAGGTGAATCTAGAATTAAATCCTGGACTAACACGAACAAGAACGAGATGCGTACATTTTTGGGTGTTGCTATTGGAATGGGCTTAACGCAGGTACCTGCTATAAATTTATATTGGTCGAAAGAGCCCCTATGTCAGAATGAATTTGTTTCATCGATTTTCACAAGAGACAGGTTTCTCTTGCTACTAAGGTTTCTCCTTTTTTCTGACAATGAATCCGCCGATACTACAAATAGACTGTACAAAATAGATCCTCTTATTTCACTCCTGTTAAAAACTTATCAAGAAATTTTGAGTCCAGGAAGAGTCCTTGTCATAGACGAATCCATGGTTCCGTTTAGAGGACGGTTGAGTTTCCAGCAGTATATACCGAATAAAACACATAGATATGGGGTCAAACTTTATAAGCTATGTACAAGTTCTGGGTACACTTACAACCTAAAGGTTTACACTGGTAAAGGCGATACACAACCTGAGCTGGGACATGTACAATCTGTTGTATTGAAATTGCTGGAAGATGTACATCCAAAAGAAGGACGAATATTATATGATGATAATTTCTATTCCGGGATACCGTTGGTTAAAACATTACTTGATCAATAATTTCTGAATTGTGGCATACTAAGATCAAACCGAAAAGGAGTTCCCAAGGAATTCCCAAAGAATTCACAAAGAACAATAAGAAGAGTGAAGTTATTGGCAAAGAGAAAAGCAAGATAAAAATTATTAAATGGGTAGACAAAAGACCTGTTACTATGATCACGACACATCCTACTCATAATGCTACACTAGTACCTATAGGTAAGGACAATACAATTGAAGACATAAGTGGATAAAGGTGTTGTCACAAAATTCATGTTGGGAGATATTAAGGAAAACGTGTTTTGATTTGGAACTTTTTTTATAACTCCTTTATCGACTGAAAAGTGAATTGTAGTGGAATAACAAGTGCGTGCAAAGAGGTGTGAAGTATCTTTTTATTTTACACATATCATTAAAAAAGTATACAATATTGAAAAATATGTTTTCAAAGCATCATTCGCTTCTTCTTTGGACGTAACAAGCTTTCCTGGATTATATCTTCATAATACCATCTGTATTCTTCATCCACATGCTTTACTTGTTCTTTCAGATTCTGATTTTTTTCTATTGTTACACCTCCAACCTTATTTATTATCCTGATTGGGTGGAACTCGGGGTGTTGGTTTTGTGACTTTTTTTTTCTTAAATCAACTTCTAAAAATGGAGTGTATTCATTTAAGCAGGTTTTATAATGATATACGCCAAACTCGCTCACACGAATCCACTTCACACCATCACGAAGGCATATCTTCTGACCCAGCGTATTGGTTTGTTTTTTAAATAAATATAATTTTCCAGGAACTTCCTCGAAATTGTAAAAGAATTGGTCCATATTAAAACACATGCTGTTTTTTGTGCTGGCAGTTTGTATTATTTGTCGATATTGATCTGGTACTAGTATTTTTTCATGTTTCCTTAGAACTTTTTCGATTCGGCCAAAGTCTCTGTCGGAGTCCAAGAAGCTATGGCCTGCTTCAGGAAACTTATGGTCTATTATTTGAAAATACTTATTTGAAACTAGGTATTGGAACAGGCCAAGCATCACGAAATTTTTGTTCTGTCCTGCACGGGAGTCCGACCATATAATTAAATGTTTGATTTCATTGCTTTCTTCTTTTAATATTTTACAAAACCTGAACAGGCAGCTAGCAATCTCATTGCTGCCTCTATTGGCAATATCCTCAGTCCACGTAAAAAAATATGATCTCTGACCGAAATTTGTGATAACGTGCACGCCAAAATTGTAAAGCCACATTTGCCGCAAATAGAAAGCTTTTGCAGTCGTCAACTTTGGCTGTTGTAGGTCCATTGTTATGTAACAAACCTCCTTATCTAGAAGTGGCTACTGCCGGTCAACTTTTTGGCATTCAAAAGCATTGGTGTAGCTTTCTTTGTGATCTTCAGTATCGCCTCCAGCATCACATATACTGCAGGTATCAGTTTTAGGATACCCGAACGACAGATTGAACTTATTATCAAAAATATGGCGATACATAGAAAGTTTAACAAAATACCTGTCCTCTAGTTGTTGTTCTCTGCATCTGGACAAATATAGTTGATGCATCTTTGTAACATTCAGTAAGGGTGACAAATATTTTTTATTTTCATTTCTGGCTCTTGAATAGTGCGACGTTTCTGCAGGAAATTCCTTAATATGCTTTTCGACATTTTCCACGACATCATCATTAATTTTATGTGGACGCGATTTGTGGAGGCCTTGTTTAATAGGCGTTGGAGCTGACTGGCCAGCCTTTAGCTGTTTTTGAAGATTTTCGATCTTTTTTCTACCGATCTGGTACAGTTCACAGAATGCATCCTTGCATACGGGTATTCTCTGTTTTTCATAGGTTACAGAATAAGTAAATGAATATTGCTTGCATTGTGAATTTTTTGCTCGATGTCGAGCGACTGGTTTTATAATCATGCCATTGAATAATAAGCAGTTTTTAGCATTATTGTTCAAACCGTAAAATTTCTTTAAGATCGACTCTCTGGCTTCGAGGGAGAAGTTACTGCCACACTTCAACCTACATGATGCTTTGCATAATATTGGGTCTGTATTAATGGACTTTCTTGGCATGATTTTTCCAGTTTGGGATATATATTCTAATCCTTTCTCTCTACATGCTGCAGACACGTTCCTTTTCCAAGTCTGAGGGTTCCTTATCCTTTTTTTCGATGTTCTTGGTTGTATTTGGAATATTTTCCGCTTTGCGTTCTCTGGGTGCACCTGTTTATCACTTGGACCTTCAGCAGTTACATGTATGTTATCAGATAAGCCACTAGTAGAAGCGGTCACTTATGCTGGATCGTTCTCTTTTTGAGGTGAGCTCACGTTGATATCACTGATAATTTCTGCTGATTGACCAGCAACACTTTCCATCTCTTGGCAGAATACATTTCTTTTGGCACTCTCCCTACTGCGGTGGAATATTTCTTCATCAGAGTCTGTTGATTCTGCTTCCGAACGTACATAATCTTCACTCGATGACATATTTTCGTCGCTGATGTCTGTATCTGAAATGAAAGTAACATTGTAGATGCAACAGAAGCTACCTACTGAAATTTATTATATTGTTTTGGCCAGGATCCATTGATCATTCAATTTGGTTCATATTTTCTTTAACAAAGTACAATATTACAGTACAAACGAGCTAATTTGTTTCAACTTTGGTAAAGGCCACCGTGGTGGCTCAAACATTAGTGAAGTAATTTTTAGTTCATTGTATGTGCTTTTACTTAAAATATGGCGTACAACTAGAAGTGGTGATAAAATTCCGTAATAACCCTTTATTTAGTCATAAGCTTCTCTTCTTCTGCAGGATCATACTGTGAGTGTGTATTGCCCTCACTGATTTTTCGCCCGAACCTTTTGTGAGAAGTTTCCAACCTTACAGAATTGTTATTGTCCAAATACTCAGCATCCGATGGTAAATACTGATTTTTCGACGACAAAGCTTCACTTCTGTTGTGGGAGTCTGAAAAAATCCAATTAATCATTTTAAGAATGTTTTGTGGAAACAGATTATCATTGAACTGAAGCTTGTCAAGAATCTCACATAACGCACATAAATATAATTTGAAAAAATGATTCAACTTGGTAGTAAATCTGATTAATAAGTTACTTACCCTCGCATGCAGAATTATGGTTTTCTGCCAAAAGTCTAAGGATCCTCTTGCCTCTACTTTCCATTTTATTTTCATACACTCTAGCACTAAGTAGCTAGAGTTTCAGTAAAACAACTGGACACGTGTTTTGACACAAACTATCCTAGGTAAACATAACCTCAAAGGTGGTATGTCACAAGCAACCAACTGAACCGTAGGCACTTGTAGTTGATAAAGGTGCTATGTCCCATATCAAGACATAGCTCCTTAATCAACTGAATACTTCACATGTTACATGTGACATGTCACCTTTATCAATCAGTATTATCTTTTGGCAAAAAACTATGAATATATTTCACTTATTACAAGTTGCGTAGGTGTCCGAGGGTGCCAAAAATTAAAAAAAAAACGATTTTCGTAAAAAATGTGACATAGCACCTTTATCCACTTATGTCTTCAATTATTTTCAAAATAAAGATTCACAAAAGATAATGTTTATAGGAAAACAATCATAAAGAGGAAAATATATTGGAATCACAGTGTGTAATTGATTATAATTTGGCCAAAAAGGGTATCGACTTCATTGACCAAATGTCCTCTTATCATACTGTTGTACGTAAAACACTAAAATGGTATCGGTAAGTCCTTTCATATATAAGTATACCTATAACATTTAATGTACTTATAAGTATTTTTATTTTGTTTTGCAGCAAAGTTATGTTTGAATTACTACTGGGCACGACTGTGGTGAATTCGTGGATTGTTTATAACATGGTTTCTGACACAAAGCTGAGCATTATGGAATTTAGAAAACAACTAGCTAAAGATCTAGTAATAGAACAAGCGGAAGTTCCAAAGCAGCCAGTTCCATCGAGAAAGAGGCAACACACTTTCGTGAAACCTGAAGGTCCAGGAAGAAAGAAGAAAAGACCATGTACGGGATGTTACAAAAAGTTGCGAATAACTATGACGAGTCGCGAGGCTGACAAAAAAGTCTGACGTATAATAAGCTATTGTGAAGAATGCCCAATGAAGCCGGGATATTGCCTTCAATGTTTCAATGAAACACACAACTAAAATATCTTAGTTCATTATTTTCTTTCTTATTATACTCAAGAAAAAAGTTTCAATATACCAAACACAAGTCAAATACTTTTGTTTATAATTTTGTTTAGAAAAATGTTTTATTTTCAATAAAAATTTCAATGAAACTTGACTTTTATTTTTGAAAATTTGTACTCATCAGCATGCGGTTCTAGTTCCCGGAGATATGTATGACGTAACTCCAAGACGGATTCATCTATCCTATAAAAGATTTCTACATCAAAATGGTGCAATTTTGCAACATATCTTACAAAAATGGCACTTAAGTATATTTTTCCTTGGATATCTAACGCACAGCAGTAACGACTCTATTACTATACCCCGGAGATATGTACTGCTGTCAACGCCAAAGTACGGATTATTAGTCCCACAGTCAACGTGTTACGAAAACAAATATTTAACTAACATAAAAGTATTTAATATTAAATAAATATACAATGAATATTTCGTGCTATCGGGGCATACTCATAAGGAAGTTCGAAATGCTTCAAGAAGGCACCCATCTGCCATGTTGGCATTTTTAGTTACTACCTTTACTCTAAAATATAGTATTCATGCAACAATTTAATAGCCTTGAATTCTATTTTGGTAGCCTAACCAGTTGAAAAAGTAGGGGGGACCTACTGCATTTCAGCATGGTTATACGATCTTTGTCCTGCCCATTGAGACAAAGATATCCAGTTCTGAAACTTCATAACTTCTGTATTCAGGTGGCTTTTAAAAAATAGTGCAAAAACTTAAAAAGCTTAAAAATACCATAAACGAGAATGTTCGGAAATTGATAAAGCACTAGGAAAATCGTCAGATTAATTTCATATTCTCAAGTAACGCTTCCTTCCATATATTTTGTAATAATCCCAAAATAAACATCTACGTTTCTCTCTATATGATATGTAATGACTATTAAATCTTTAAACAGGGGTGTACAACGTTGAGACTACCATACGTTGGTTTGGCAAAATCATCACAAAATCTGTAACAAATGTTTGCATTGATGCCAAATCGCAAAGTGAGAAAAGAAGATGAAAACGACAGTGTGCGCAGCTAAAATCAATTTTTTGGATCTAGATTGCCAACTTAACCTTACATATTTTCGGAGGGGAGGGTGTAGTCCTGCCATCTCCCAATTTCCCCTTATACGCTAATGGTAATGATATACAACACTTACCTAAGAAATGATAGAAGAATGGCTTGCAACCGCATAATTTCAGAGCCATTTCATATCGGCACATCACAAAGCATATGGTGGTACTGTAGTATGGTAGGTTATTTGTCAAAGGCTCATTATCAAACCTGCATCGTCTCTGTGTAGGGGACAAATACCGGATATCCGGAGAAGCATCTGTTTCTGTCATTTTATAGTTTATCTCCACCTCATCACTGATATTGGCTTGGTGAAACTGGTTCAAGTTTATGTGAGCAATGTCTAAGTATGAATGGATGTGATACTAGAACAAAAAATATCTGCATTAAGATAAATATGACCATCTTGAAAAGTGGCATTTTGTAGTTTTTTTTTGACATTTCATGGGCTTTTTGTGATATAACGTAGGTTTTTTTACGAGATGTCAACTTAGCACTAGCTATTGTATACTTGTTATGAACTCGTTTTGTAGCTATACGTGTTGCCTAAACGTTTTGATGCAGACCAACACATAATCATCCAGACGCGATCTTGCTACTCAACCAACTATCTTTCTCATCTTCTCAGAGATAACACTACTTGGCTTTCTGAAACTGACAATGAATGCTTGGGTCTGTCGTGTCATTAAGTCATTCCACCATAGATGGACCCTCACAGCGATCATACCGAGCAAACGTGGAATGAACTATTTGCATACTAAAAGCTACCTAGTCTTCAAGATGACATTTTGACGTTTTTACGTTTTTTACATACTTAATACCCCCGCAGGTTGACTAATGCCCTGCTTCAGGTCACAGATGACAGTGACATGAGTTATCACGGACTACACGAGACACAAACAGCAGCATTGTCCCATCAACAATTATGAGTTATACTCCAAAAGCTGACGACAAGTTTTTGATTATATCGTGTACTGAAATGATACGATAATAACTAGTCAAATCTTAGGTATATTGAAAATCTGCATAATAAATTCACTGAAAAAACAAGGTCAGTTAAATAGTTTTTCTTTGAAAATTATCATTAACCGTAGTGAATTTTTTTAAGTAATTAAATTATTCGGCTTAATTAAACTGACTTTTCTGGAACCAGTTTAAATAAAAGTAATACACTATTGAGCTAATTTGCTTGAAAATAGCAAACCATGTACCTGTTTTATTAAACTGTTTAATTAGTTCAGCTAATTTAGTTTATCTAGAAAAGGTACATTTAAAACGATTAAACATTTTAATGTTATTGAAGTAGCTGTGAAGTGGATGATTTATGGGTTATCAAGTGATGTACTCGAGCTCAAGGGGCTGTGTGACCCTCATAATCATGGTAAACATATTTCTCTCTCCCAATGAAGCACTCTGTATAGGGGCGTCACTGTTGACGTGACTGAATGGGAAGAAATTTGAAATTTTACTTATGCAGCCATATTAGGTCAACGAAGAGCATTATAAGCTCTAACATACATAGGCTTGATATGATATTCTTTCGGAAACGATTCTAAGGATATGTATTTTATGAAACTGGATATCGATGCATAGACATTTTTTGTTTGTTGTTCTTATAGTTTAACGATGCTGTACTTTGTTCTTTGAATATTCTGATGGATTCAGTGTGTAAATTGTATAATGTATATTTAGGAAATGGATCCTCCTTTTGGTGCATACTTTGTAATATTTGAACATATCCTAGTGATCTCAAATTTCTATACATATACACGGGAATGCGTGTGAGTGCAATATTGTTTTATTATAAGATATAAAAGTTCAAATTTTGTTCACAGTCTAGTGACCTTATTAATTTTCAGGTTTACTCCTGCATACTGAATTTAAAACAAACCATTGCTTCTACTTGTAGTGAATGGTGATATACATATTATAACCTGAAATAAAAAATATTTGTTAGGGACACTAAATTCGGCACTTTTTATTTTGATTCGAAAATGTCAATTATCAATACTCAGCTTTTCATTGTTTATCTTAGATTTGTCAGAGTACAGATGTACACCATTCAATAAAATGCAATGTTTTATTTTAAACTCCAAATATTCCAATACACCTTTAAATCTAAATAAAATAATTTATTAAAACTAGGCAAATACTTCTACCTAAACTAATTAAACAAGTTTAATAAACATAAATAAATTATTTTACTGGTGTCAAGAAAATTCATTTTAATAGTTCAGAAATTTTAAATAAATTGGTGTGCGCAATCTAAGTATCACGGTGTAATACATTTATTTAAACGATTGCGTTTTGATTTAGTCATACTAGTTTAATAGATTCAAGTAAACTGTCTTAGAAATCGGCGTTTAATTAAACTGATTAAACTTGTTAGCTGTCACATAGTTAATTAAATTTTTTAATGAGTTTAATTAAAACTATAATTGATTTAATAAAATTCTTTTCTGTGTTCCATACCGCGATGTAATTTCACCAACTTTCATCACGAACCGAAATAAGACTCGCTCGTAGAAAACGTATCCAAAGGAAAATTTACCATGGTTTTTTCAGCCAAATGAAACCGCATATACATTGCTTTTCAAAAAAGTCCCATCTCCTCCACTTTTCAACGGGTCAAGTTAGCAGGCTGGAATTCAGGATACCCGATTAAATTGATGCATGAAAATCATATTTTAGTGTAAAAGTGTCAGTTGAAAATTTCAAGATGGCAGCAGGGCACCATTTTGGATTTTTCTTTAAATGTGTGTCATACTTCATTTTGAAGCTTCTTATGAGTACTTTATAACCTTACATAAAAAATCACCATCTCTGGAAATGCCGGAGTGACAGGCAGTCAATGTTGAGCTTTTTAGTAGGTTGAGTCTCTAGTAGAACGTTATATCAATCTTCTCCTCTTGAAAGGATGTATCTGACTATATAATAGTATAAGAAACATTTCATTTTAAGAAATTGTCAAAACCTGTCAGTCTTCTTGGACTGAATGTCCAATTTGCTGTTAGATCCTTCCAATAGAAGAAGATTTATATAATACACTATATAACTCTTCGATCAACATTTAACCTGACAAGTTTGGATTTTAGCATCAAAATACGTAGGATTTGACTAGTTTTCCTCATATCATCTCATGTTACAAAACATTTGCTGTAAACCAGAACTTGAAAAACAAATTCACATTTCTTAGATAACTTTCAAGTTATAGTTATCCAACCTGAAAGTGAACGTGAGTTTTGAAATCTGGGCTGATTAGTACCATTTTTGAGAATAATGTGGATTTGAAAAATGATCTCAAAAGAATACGTCCAAATTACGAAAAAAATATTTCCCTTATTTAGTCATACCTTCAAAGGGTAGTTTGGATCTGAATCGTATCTTGCGTAGCACAATCGGTTCAAGTAATGGCACTTCAAAATGTTATCTTCTGGCTCACTATTATTTAGAACTCCGGCATTTCTAAAAAAACATAGTATCTTATTTTTAATAATATTATACTTTGTTGCTCAAAAATGCATCAGAAGTCTTTGAAGCAGAACATTCTTTTAGCTTCCATATCCAGTCTATTATAGTGTTTTATTAGTATCTATCGTTTTTTAAATTCTAGATCTTCAGGTGATTCAACTAAATTTTATCATCATTCATAATAATATTTCCAGTTAATTTTTAGCAGCTAACGTGGATACCTTATTTCCAGCAGATTAGCAAACTTTGAGTTGAATGTGATACAAATGCCAAGTTCCGTGAGGATAAGCTTCCATTTTGCTTTATATCTTTTTTCAAATGTTACTAGTTGTCCTGATAAATCGGGGTGTACCTAGAAGAAATGTCATTTACCAGCATTACATCTTACTTTCTTATGATAGGACCCTAAGTTTTTGGTAGTGCTACTCTTAATCACAGTGGAGCCCAATCTTTAAGGTTGGTTGCAGTCGTCCTGAGCACAGGTATAAGCACCAGTTTCATAATCTGGGTAGCGTTATACCCGTTCTACAGTAAAAAACAAAATTATAGGCTAGAAATGTATCATTTGTTTAGATTGGCTAAGCTTGCGTTTTTGAATTGAGCAAACAGGGTCGTCTGGCAACTGCAACTGACTGAACGCAGTTTTTCTTGCACCAGATAAAACAATACCGTCTTGCCATTGCAAAATCTTCATTGCAATGGTCTTGGTGACTGTAAAACGGTTTTTACAGATAGTCAAATCACAGCACGCATACTTGATTGATGCGAAAGGAAGCGCCGTGTCGCGTCTGACAAATGGCAAATGTTGCGGGGATTCCCTTCGCGAGGTTTCTTTTCATTGTACGTACACGTTTACTCTCATCTGACAGTTACATGTAGGATGTAACTTATATGGAAGTTAGGTGCCAGATACTAATAACTGGAGATTGTTAAACCAGTCCATAATAGTCCTGGCAAAAAGTAAATAATAGGTACCCTCATGAAGAGTGAGACCACTGGTTGAATTACTAGATTGACACTACATAAATGATGTTAGGTATCATATTTAAAGGTTTACCTCAGTTACCAATTTTACCATATCTACAGCTGCAAGTGTTTTATCATCCTCAAATCTCTTAAGCTCTCCCAAGTTAAAATATGTTGTATTCGAAATTGTTTTTACGAAATCATAGAAGTAGGAAAATTGCTCATCTGTAGGTTCAACATTCCATTCACTATAAAAGATTTTTATCAGATTGACGTTCTTTGTTACTGATTAATTACATACATATGCTCCAACAAGGGATGTACTTTTACCTTTTTATGTACTTTTTAGCCTTCTCATAACTAATCTTTTCGTTTAAACAACCTGTTGCTGCGGGCAAATGATTCATCCAGTTCCTAAAATCCTTCTGGATAGAGACTACAGTAGGGTTGGCCAGAAATCTGTTCAAATTCGTTAACGCCAGAGATAAAGATCCAGAGACAGCGGCTATCACCATGGCCAACCAGAAAAATCTGCAACAAGTTAGCTAATTTTAAATTCAAATGCCGAACAACAGGACTGCGAATAAAGAGGAAATAAAAGTCACCACAGCGAGGAAAATGCAAGGAAGACGACGAAAAATACAAGTCAGAGAAAGTGTCGGAAAAAATGCAATTGCGCCGAAAGTTGTCATTCTCGAGCATCCAGAATCTGGGTTTATTGATAACTGAGGATTTTTGAGGAATGTATTGTTCAGAAAATTTCATATATGAAGTTTTCAAACATTTTAGGGTCTGCTGAGTTTTCTCTTTACATTTAAAAATCAGTTATTGCAAAAACTTTGTAAATGGAATAATTTCAATGTTCTAGGAGGCAATAAAAACTGCCATTATACTATCTATACAGACATCATCATCAGTACATTGGAAGAAATTCATACAAATAAGGAGGATGCTTATCATGGGAAACAAGAAAGCTCTTAAATAAGTGAGCTTGGACAAAGCGGATTAGGCAAAATGTATTCCCCCGTAACCGTATTTTGTAATTTGGTCGACACCGCGGCTGCTATAAGGATTCGAAAGAAACTTCCTTGATCCAATTTTTGAACTACATAAGTGGATTGTTCCTCAATCTCGACACCCTAGGAACAAAGGAGCGGTCATATCGGCTAGCTCGAGATGTACGAAGTTGGACACGAACACAAAATCAGGCGGGTCTGTCTGACAGGCACATCATGCGGCGGCATCATGGAGGAGAGCTCTGAGGGTCAAAACTTGTTGGTGTAGCGGTAGAAGACAGCTAGATCGCCAACGGCCCGCCGGTGCACAAGGGTTCCCGAGACTGTCTGTTAGTCACCGATCAGTCGGGCAGCCCTCCTCTGGACAGCATCGAGCATGGATAATGTAGTCGGGGCAGCAGCACCCCAAATGTTGTACAGAGTGAGAAGTTCATGTGGAGAGAAGTACTTCTTAGATCTGAAGAAATAGCCTAGCTTTTTCCCAGCAGCTGCTGCTATTGACGAGATATGTTTGTGCCAGATCAAGTCCTCGGTGATCTGGACACCGACCAGCCAAAATGAACGGAACCTGTCTTAGTTCTTATGAATGAATGCTACTTTCCGCATAGTGTAAGGAACCTTTAGAATCGACGGCACTCGGGCGTTGGGGGGACGTCCATGGTGGAGTTGGCAGCAAAAATCTTGGCAGGTACTTCCGCCTTAGTCTTTGAGTCGGCTACAATTGTTCCAACCTAACAAGTGGTGGAATGCTACTCTGTTTGTTTCAATCTGCTTGGCCAGTGAACTGAAAGACCGATTGCCATTGTGATGCGACATTACCCTGTGCCTAACTTTTATTACGCGAATCCAATTTACAAAAGGGTACTCTGACTTTGAGCGTTCAACATAATGATCAAATAATCAACAATCAAACAAACATGGCGAATTGAAAGTCCGTGCTGCCTGCAAAGTACAGGGAGTACACCTCGAGTACGCGGTTTGACAGTGAATTGCTTATTGTTTGGCGCGGCTTCCATTTATTCTGCAAAGCTGACTGAAAATCTGACATAAGACTTTTTGATTTACCATATTAATTTCTTGTTATTAGAATATAATAGAATATATATTACGTGCCAATTAACAAAAGATTTGTTTTTAAACTTGTCATAAAAATTGTTGGTATGCATAATACATAAAAATAGCTTCTTGAAAACTACTAATGACGTATACAATACATATAAAACTATTTATTGGTTTGGTCACAAAACTTTGTCGAAAGTTTCTAGATTCAATCCCCTCGAAGGAGTTGCTCACACTATCGTATGTGAAGGCTACATCGAACAATGTAATTTTTATGATTAGCACTAGTATTATGACTAACTACCTTAAATAGATACTTGTCTATATTTCAGTATCGACGTTTATACATGTATATTTGAATTCTAGGTAACTATTGCATCGATGTTCGTCAATTTAGTGGAGGTTAAGGCCAATACTACACACATACATGAAGCCAGAATAGGAATTTGTATGAGCATGAATAATGATAGATATATGATGAATTCTGAATAATAAAAATAGTTTTTATTGTACATATAGGTCAAATACAGCTGATGTAGGTAGAGAATCAGTTAAACGATATCTTAAACAATAAACGAATCAACTAACATTCCTATATACCCTAAAACTAATAAGAAAGGTGGTTTTCAAGCACTGAAGTTAAACACAAACTATAAACCACACTCGAAGAAAAACTGGTTACCTCAGGCATACACTACGGGGGAAACGATACTGTCTCCAACAGATTATTCTTGTAAAATGAGTGGAGTAGAAGAGCGGACAAGGGGAATATGCATAAAGAAACCTAGCCTGCATAATATTATTAAAAAATGATATTTATAAAGAGAAAATGATCATGCGGAGAAAGGTATATAACAAAAAATAGGAAAAAATAATGGGCAAAAAGGGAAAGTGGATCCCAGCAGAAAATAGGATAGGTAACCCAAGCAATACGTATTTCTGCTTGTTGGCTTCATCAGGCCCGAAATGAATGCACATATGCAACCACAAAAGTAGATACACATGCCCATATACACGGATACGGGTGTAACCCGAGGAAACGAAGATGGATGTGAAAAATGACACACGAAGTCCCCAACAAGAGCCAACCTACATATTGTAGCATAAAAACATAATCATGTTTTGTACCGTTTTCAAAAAAGAATCCGCGTAAACCCAGTTTTGATCACATTGCCATGGGCTCTCATTTACATTTTATAACATTAAACACCAGCACTAATCTCATTGACGGAGTAAGTAAAAAAAAAATTTAACCAATTGAGCATGGTTTGCTATTTACTATTTTCAATTTGTTTTGTGCTCCTGCTGATGGCAGCATAGTCTGTCTAAAGCTCGAGTATTTGTAAGTCAAAACGGTACACTTAGCATCATTTGTCGATATCCCCAAAGACAAGTCTTCCACTTAGCTAGTTATTATCGACAATAACTATGAATCGCATACAATCCACAGATTTGGGTTTCTTCCGCAACATCGAGCATCTCCACGGGATACACACGGTGAGGATGACAATTGACTGGGGCAGAAAACGGTTGGCATACGAACTTGAAAGACGAATATTCCTAATCAAATTGGAGAAAAAATGGGACCACTCCATCATATATCACCCATCATCAAAGATCTATCAATCACATTTTACACAACCACCTGGCAGAAGATGGGCTTAATTCTTCAATACAAAGGTTAGGTGCAAGACTTTTGTCACTTGAATCTCCTCCTGTCACAAACAGTTAAAATTACACCATTCATCACTCAAGTCACTAAAAAATGATATCATTTCTTCCACTACCCCATTAATTTTTAACAATTTTCAATCCATGCAGTCAAGGCATTACAATAACTTTGTTCCACAACACTGAAAGATCCAACATTTGCACGTTAGGCAGATTATTGGATGACTCTGTGAGAACGTTGCTTGACACTCAGCCGAACTGGATTAAGAACTTTAGTGATGTGGACATTCCTGAAATAGTTTGTAGATTTCTTTCTTTAGGTCTAAAGTTCAATGTTGAGCCAGTTGTCAACAAGGACATTTCAGCTAGGCCCGTTTTAGCTGATGTAGACGCAATAGCATCCTGCATCAACGATAATGCAGATAGAAATATTTATACAACTCGTTCCACCAACAATATCACCAATTACTATCACTCCAATGATATCAATAAAAAACACTCTTTCTATCACAATCTGTTGAATAAAACGAAAAAATTCCTGAAAAAACACCCTGATCTAATTGTCTCAAGAACTAACAAAGGCAATGTCACAATGATAATGCTAAGACAACAGTATTTGGATCTATGTAATAGCTTAATTGATAATGATCTCTCCTAAACTGAACTTAATAGAGACTCTACTCCAAGAGTGTAAAAATATTGTAATTACATTGTTGGCAAGCTCTTCAACACTGGACAAATCAATCAAGATCAGAAAAAATCTTTAACCACCTATAATCCTATTTCCCCAAATGTTATGCTCTTCCTAAGATACATATACCGGTTCTAGGTAAGACCTATAGTAGCTTCAATTGGTTTAGCCCCGCAAGCTCTATCCTCAATAATCTCGGATATTTTAAAATCAGCCCACGTTAAAGGCGAATACTACATTAAACACTCTTTTGATGTCTTTCAACAGCTTAATAGGCTACAAATACCACCTGTTCATGTTATTTCCAGCCTTGACGTAGTCTCAATCTTCAGCAATGTTTACCTTGATGGTTGCATTAGATCAATTAACACTGGGATCAAATATGTCGATGCTGCTATCTAACTCTGGATTAATTTATCTCCATCTTAGAATTCCTTTTCCATAACAACTATTTTACATTCAATAATAAAGTTTTTTTCACTAACACACGGTTGCCCAATGGGCTCAGTGCTATCACCAATTTTGGCAGAATATGTGATGGATGATCTGCTCGATATTGTTATTCAACTTTTACGTTTCAACCTATCTTTCATAAAGAAGTATGTAGATGACATTATTGATTGTCTCCCGTCACCGGGGGTAGATAGTATTGTCGAAGATTCTTATAGCCATAACCCCTATATTCAATTCACCATTGAAAGAGGGGATGAAAATCAATCAGTCCCATTTTTGGACTCAAAAATTATCCGAAACAACAACAACACTTTGTTGGTAGACTGGTACAGGAAACCAATATCCTCAGGAAGGTTCCTAAGTTTCAGGTCCTACCATAACATAAAAATAAAGTTGAATTTGGTGCAACAAGTGAAAACAACGGTAATCGGCATCCCTGAAAATACTTTCCACACCTCGAATCTATGGAAAGTCTTAACACTGTTCATGAACAATGGTTATCCAAGGTACTTGATTAACATATCTTGTTCAGCTCTACGCCTAGTATTGTGCCAAATCCAAACAATAATTCCACCCCGTCCAACATCACAAACAATTCTCATAAGAATAATAATACCAATACACCATCAAATCTCAGAATTAGTTTTGTAGTATTGCCAATCGCTCAGGACTGTACTCCAAAACTGGCCAGACTCTGTAGTA